TGTTATATTTACACATAAATCTTATAGCCATTTCTTCTCAGGCTACTTAGACAGGTTACTTCATTAACTTGTTAAAAGTGTGAACCAAATTCCCACAGGCTACTCAAAATCCCAAGGCAGAAATAATTTTTAATCTGAAGTTTCTGTTCTCTACATTTTTATTTTACAGAGTCAACAAACATACATATGAATGGGCTAATGAGTCTACCTTGAAGAGACTCTGAAAGGGGCCCTGGAGAGCAACGTGAAGGACAGGCCATCGGCAATCTGACTGATGCCTGGGAGCCTTAGGAAGMCTCAGGAAGAGCTCTGGGCTAACCACATTGTAGCAGACGTACCAAGCCAGTCCTCAGAGACTGGGGAAGAGCCTAGGAGCAGTCACAGAGATGAGCAGACAGACAGCAGAAGAAAAGAACACCTTTTAATAGCTGTCACAGTAGATCTGATTACAGGCTTTACAAATTTCAAAATTATCTGGAAAATGTTGTGATATAACACATTGCCAGAGACTGGAATAACTTGCTTGAAAGTGCAGCCTGAGAAAAACATATAAAACCAATGGCTAGCACTTGAAACTGCACAACAGATGCACTTTGCTTCTTTCAGATACACACTTACTATTCTTTTTTTTTTCTCACATAAAACACTCTGAGTCACTTAACTGACATACCATTTCACATCACTATCTTCTTCTCTTATCAAGCTCTTCAGTCTAGCTAGATTTTTCCTGTTGTTGACATTCCTGTCTACGCCTCCCCATTATGTATTTTAAATCCTAGAGCATCAGAATTATTTATGTTTAACAATATCACAACAAAAAATCTCTACCTACAGATTTTCACTACTAGGCAAAACCAATAAGGCATTCACAGCAAACCCAGGCAACTAAGTCCTAAGCATGAAGATCTCTTCCTGTGTTCTAAGTCACTGTGTCTTTTCTATGAAATAACTATGAATTTCTTGGTATAAAAGTGCCACCGACACCTGTTTTATAACATGCTGATAATGAATGGAACTTCTTGGCCAGAAAGTTGTGTTTGTGGAAACACTGTTTCTTTACCCTATAATATTTTATGGGAAAGCAAATAGAAAGTTAAGTGGATTTTATACATTTCCAAAAGGAAATTTCTTTTTCTTTCATCTTTCAGAAAGTATATTTCTTTCATCATTTTTAGCCTCACTGCTTGCATTTGACTACTCTATAAAATTGCTCTGTGCAAGCAAAGTGCCATTAAAAACATTCATATAAAAAGCTTGCATTAGAGTAAGCAAGTTATTGTGAAAGTATGCCACTAGAATCATATTCAGTTTCCATATCCAATCTTTTTTTTACATAAATATGTACTTGGCAAAAACACGCACATATATAACGGGACAGATACACATATAAACAATTACAGCATCATTAGATGAACTGCAAAGGAATATAATAAATGAATGCATAATATATACCTGTTTTCATATTCTAGTATTTTTCCTTAGCAGATTTCTGAACTTTAAAAAATACTCAAAATTACTTATCTGCCTAAAAAAACTACTTTGAAACATCAAAATGACAAAGATAAAATGCTTTCTCTTTCCCCTGAAACAGAAAACATAATTGAAACACTTCTTAAATACCAAAAAAAAAAGGAAAAAAAACACATAAATTCGACATGTAGGATGAGGAATAAACCAGGACTAGGAACAGAGACTTCAGCCATTAAAATACAGACAAGTAAGTGTGACTACACAGAAGTACCCAGACTTTCATACTCACAGGAAGAAATAGAGAACTGCAATGTCGAGGCTCATCTTGGTCTTACAAAAAGATGAGGAATTAGCGCCACCTGCTGCGATGAAGCTGGAAATGTTAATTTTTCAGCTGTGATAAGAAGAGACATTATCTTTAAACACAGTGTTCCTAATTTTTCTAGCTCCCCTCCAGCTCACATTGCTGCTTATGTCAGACCCTTTCTAACACTGGTCCACAATGTTTAAATCAATCATCCATAGCTGTCTGCAAAATGTATACAGTTAACCCCTCAAAATCCTCCAAGTTCTCCCTGGATGCTGTAAAACAGCAGTGAAGCTCCTAACAACCTCTAGTCACTCCTCTTGCTAAAACATAAATCATTTCCTCCTTATTTTGGTGGTCACCTGTTCACAGGCAGGGCAGATCCTTCAGGGGCCTGGAGCCCTGGCCATCCAGACCATGCTCTTGCCTGGCTGCAGCCCAATGCCCTTCCCTCCCTCATGGCCTGATTTTATCCTCCCTGGGAGTGGGCACCATAGCAGGAACAGGGTCTCCCTCTGAAACCGCATGGGGACATTGGCATATAGCTGGGCACAGACAAGGGAAGGATGCCTGGGCCTCAGAAATTATGTACAGCTTACATGAGTAAGCTTTCCTACTTGTAAAATGTCACTTTCCCACTCGTAAAATGTTATCTGTAAAGGCTACCTTCATTTGTATAGTACTCTGAGATTATTGTATGTGGTCAATGGTCATCTGTGGATGAAATGCTATAGATAGCACAGATACACAGCAGTGRGGTAAAACATCGCCAAAGAAAAGGATTCCTCAAGGAACAGGCATTATACAGTGAGACCAACAAATCTAGACAAGCACCTGGGACATCAAAGTGCCCACCAAAAGTCTAGGGGCTGCACCAGCATAGATGGCTAACAGCATCCCCTCATTAATAACAAAAATCTCCATTTACCTTTTTCCATATTTAGTTCAGACTGATATTCCTGCCACTAACTACTGGCAAGCTTGTGTACTTTTTTTTTTCTGCTTTGTAGTTTGTCTGTGCGAAACCATAATTTTTATTTAACATTTTAAATAGACACTTGCTCCTCTTAAAAGAGACAGGTCTGTTTTCTGAGACAAGGCAGGGCACCTTCCTGTAGAGCTCGGGCCTAGGAAGCTCCATCAGGGAAGCACCTAGACCACCGTGCTGAGTAACTGCCCATGAGCTCTGCAGCGCCACCCTRAAATGGCAGCCTTAACAACCCAGATATTCACCATCCCACACACTTTCCTTCTCCTTACACTTTAAAGGCACATTAAGAACAAATGGTTGCAGACAAGCTTCACCTGTTTCCTCACAGATTTGAAGCACAGCCACCACAAAAGGCACACCAGCTGGCAAGGCATTACAACACCATGCTGCACAGGGCAGTTGTTGCTGCTCAACAGCCACTTCCTTGTTACTGTACCAGGTCCTTCACTCACCGCACAGCAGCTGCTCCCGCTCCAGGATGAGGCGCTGGACATGCCTCATCCCCTCTGGCCTGGCCAGCAGAGCCATGCAGCGCCTCTCCTGATCACTCATAGTGACTCATACAAGGGCTTGAAATTTTCCCATTAAGACTTTCCCAAATTGATACTTTCAACCTGAATGGGAGTTTTCAGTGGAAATTGGGCCTAGTTACCACAGTTCATCTGCTGCTTCTCAGTCACCTTTCCTGGCAAAAGGGGCCTTCATGCAGGCAGTAGTTCTCCACTAGCAGCTCCTTACCAGCTTGGAAATKACATTTTCCTGAGCAGTTATTTAAACACTTCTGCTACAGGTGATCTATATCACATACTAGGACATCAAATATCAAATAAAAATAACTCATACTAGGTTAACGAGAATGAGTTTCCTAAAGCACTACAATAGAAGACTTAAGTATATGAAGAGCAGTTCTAATAAAGATGTACTAATATATCACAGAACCATCTCTGGAATGAAGCTTTATTTTTAGGAAACAGTGCCGAAAAAGCCATTCTCTGTAGTTCAAAGCAGTAAACTGCAAAGAATGCCAACAACAAAGCTTACCTCTAAAACACCCTTTGTATCTGTATCTATCTATATAATATTCATTATATAAAGCTAAAGTCTACAAAGGTTCTGCTATCTGAACAGTTTGTCAAATAAGCAATAGGTTTCTGATCAATTTCACAGGCCAATTTAAGTTTTATTGTCTCACAAGCAACAAGGGCATCTATGAAACATTTCTGCTCAAAATGYCTTTCCTTTGGGGCCAGCACAATCTACCCGTTTCTCATCTGCCAGCTGTAAACTGTAATGCAGTCACAAACTGCACAGGTTAAAAAAAAGAGTTCTGAAACACCCAAATCCTTTCTCCCAAGAGCCTTTCCTGCAGGGCCCAAGATGTGGATAACACAGGGGTGGTCGTGGTAAAGAGCAGGAAGTAGTAATATAGCCAGGGGTTRAATGCAATGTGTGTCCATTTCTGCTTTGACAAAGGGTAGCATGCAACTTCATTAYTTAGTACTCAAATGCCATAGGTGGAGCTGGAATTAAGAGATGGTGAGGAAGGTATATYATACCTTCCTTATCATACCCCCCTTGAAATTACATGCCGAAAGTTACTTAAGTTTGTGGCATTTGTTAGGACTGCTGCCTTCCTTGGGGATTATTAACACTATGATTTAAAATTAGAACTACAAAAAAAGTTATTTTGTAACTCACAATTCTGTGGCATGTTTAAGAGCTCATTACTGTTGGCAATACCTGTTAGGAGTTGACCCAAGGAGTTCCCAGACGGCTCTAACATGTATAAAACTGCAAATTAGCACAATCCTTTAYGTATCATTTGGCTTTTCTTTAAGCTACAATGCAAAAAAAGTTAGCTTTTATTGAATAAAATAATTTTATTTTGTGCAGTTCAGAAATGACCTGTTTCCAAAAAATCAGTAGTTGCGTGCTAAACATGTAAAATTAAAATATGCAAATCTTTCCCTTTTACATTTCAACATGCAGTGCTAGAATGATACATTATTTTACTCACATTCTCAAGTTAGTGGTATCTGAATTTACTGAATAAAAAGTTTACCTATTTCAACTGAGACCCAAAAATATATCAAGAAACAGTTGTACATAGTGGAGCCACTTTTCTTATTCTTTAGTTTGCTTACAAAAATATTTTACTAATAACTGTTACTGTAGTATTTTGAGCAATATAAATTATAGTACTAAATGAAAAYACAGTTCAGGATCAAAATTTCAAAAGGCAGTAATCTTTCTAGGATATATGATACTAGAGGAGTATCAGCTCTGAAAAATGTTAAATCTCAACACTGCTTTCCTCCCTTTCTGTTTCAAAATTGTAAAGCTTGACTAAAAGTATTGAACAGGTTTGTGGTAAAGAAAAACTCTGCAATAGCTGAACCTTGAATCTTACCTTCATTACTACAGTCAACCAAGCATTCATCCATTATAAATGCAGTGTAGCTAATCAGCATAGAAGCAACACAGGCATACTGATGTTTAAAAAATTGGTAACTTGAATTTGTATAAACACATATGATCTTTTTTTAAATGTTAAGGTAGAAAAATAAACTAGCAATGGCAAATATATACTCTGCATCAACTACACAGTGTCAAAAATTATCCATGATAAAGCAGGGAGATTTTAATAGTTTGCCCCAGATATTTTTCAATAATGTAGGTACTACTGCCAGTGCATATAAGTGGACATCTAGGGAAAATATTTCAATAGTTACAGTTCTTTGGCTCCATTTTTAAAGTAATTTTTAAATATAAGCACAATTTTCTTCTACCATATTCTTCCCAATTTCTAAATCATATTAGCAATAAAATGTACCTTGAAAAAGGAAACTAGAAATATTTAAGAAAACAGTCAATAACTGTGATATAGTGGGACATAAACCTCAAGATCAAAAATTTGGAAAGATTCAGAGCATTTATTTTAATGCACAAAAAGCATTACAAATACCCCACAACCTGATGATGACATTTAGGTTAAGTTCTTGATCAAATGGTATATCTGTTCCATTCTGTCAAATAAGAAAGCAAATTTCCCAAGCCATCTATTATAGCAGCTCAAAATCTGAGGTGAAATATGCACTGTTAACTGTAACTTTCAGGTGTTGAACACTTTAACAAGAGAGTTCAGACACTTAAGCTCACCATTAATCCTTCAAATAAATTATGCGTGGCCACTTCTTACAGTTCTATCTTCATTCTATTGACTTGTCCTTAAATGTATCCAAAACACATTTCCCTGAATAAGGTAGCACTCTTGTATTGCACTTTAAAGAGGGTAAAATAATTTTTAAAAAATGTAATAAAATGTACATAGCTTGTAATTATAGCAAACCAGTAACACATAGGTCAGGTTTTTGTTTTCAGCATATGCAGTTTAACATTAAGAAATGAATTACCAGTTTTGCCACCTTCTCCTACCCCACCTTAACACAATACTCAAAGTTATTTTTCAACCTTCTTTTCTTCCTTATTTATTGCTCTAAGATAGTAGATTCAAATGGATAGAGCTTTGGAATTACAAATGCACTCCCACCAACTACCTTTCAGTTTGGGAACAAYGAATTGCAATCAGATCCGGACATTTATGTATCCAAATACTAAAAGAACATAAGTATTTTACCTGAATGCCATTCCCGCAGAACTACAAGCACTTTTGGCATCTAAGTTCAGAATGCCTACAAACCTTATCTCTTCACTGTGGATGTAAAAGAATTCCTTTTCCCACTGAAGTTAGAGAGAATTATTTCCTCCTGCTTCAAGAGAGTCAGGATTTTGCTGTGGATAAAGGGCTGAGGTGATCATATGCCTTTGATAAATTAATAGAAGTTAAGCTAAGAATATTGGCTTCTGGACCTCTGACCTCCTGTAATATATAGGCTGCATACTATATGCACATGGACATGTTCCTTCTGATACTCTCATCATAAAAAACAAAATTAAGTGAAGAAATACTTTGATTGCATGGTCCACAACATTTAAATAAATTTATAAATGGATGAATATGGGATATTACCCTATAATTGCTCAATGGTTATAACTCCCAGAGTAATTTAAAGTTATTGAAAATTTTATATATAACTTGGTAARGGTAATTTAATACTGTATTCTTAAAACTTTTTTATGGTTACCTCTCCCAATACAGTTTAGCAACAAACATTTTGCCCTCATCAGTCCACGATGTTATAGCACAAAGCATATTGAAAACAGTTACAGGTTAGTCCATTCACTTTAAGCATGTGTGCAAAATATTGCTTTACTTTTGAGGAGACAAAGGAAAAAAATCACCACCATTGCTAGTTTGAAAGACCTGTTTTTCATATTTTTAGGCTAGAAAACAAACATCCTGCTTGTTACAYGTAAGATTTTAATTTGGAAACTCTAAAAACCAAAGCAACTCAAAGTAAGCTTTTACATATTCCTAAAATTCTCTTTTCTAAAAGTTCCTGCATGAAGTGTGCGCTGCAGCTTTTTATTGTTATGGCCAGCTTTTCAAAAAACACAAGCCCCACCAAAAATGCTCAGGTCTAATGCAAGGAGCTGTTGGCATTCAGCACCTTTAAAACTTAGTACACAACTTAGTACACAACTTCAGTGATTGTGCAGAACAGGATACTTCCATTGCAGTGTGATCCAAGAGTTCATTTATGTCCCATACARAGAAAACTGTGTAAGTTTCAAAGCAACCAAAAGCAGCTTTTACAAGTCATATAGGACTTCAAGGATAACAGCAATTGACCAGGCCTGACTCTCACAGCTAAAAGGACAATACTGGCCATTTTCATTCGTCAGCTCCGGAAGTCCCTTCCAGGACGATCTGATTAAAGAAAAATATTACTGTTAGATTGCATAYCAAAATTAAAAGAACATTTTATTACAAAACCTTTCAGAGGAAGATCTCAATAGGAAGCTGAACACTGCAAATATAAGACCTTTTTCCCCCTACAGACCCAGTATGGATTCCAACAGCTGAGTTCTACTTTTTTCAGCAGCTGGAAATTGTAGTTATTTCTGTGGATACTTCTCCCTCAAAGTGGACTCTGATACTATTAACATAGAAGCTTGTGCTACACTTTTTGCAACTGGAATGTAATTCCTGTTTTCTACTGAGATGAGTTCTTCTGGCTGCAAAGCTATGATTTCTGTGATAACTGGTATTTCAACCATGTGAAACTTGGCAGTAGTGCTAAAAGTACTCATATAGGTATGCACAAACGCATGCATGAACTTCTAATCTGAAGTGCTGAGTTCAGTAATTGTAAAACAGAGTATATGGAAAAGGTGCCAAGAATATCTTTGTTTTGTCATAGAAATATAATAGAAGGCAAASAGAAAAAAAATCATCTTAAAAAAGAAAAATCAAAATGCAAAAGAATAAAGACAACCTTACAAACCTTAATATAATAAGCTCCTCTGTCTTGTTAGAATAATTAACTATTAAGATTCTGGATCTGTCCTACTAATTTGCTCATTTATAACACATAAAATTCTAACAACATTTTATATAGACTTACCTATCAGTTTTAACCTGTCACTACTAGTCTTTTCCCTGTTTTGTAGGTTGTTTTAATAGTTAGAAATATTTTAATAGTTAAAATATTTCAAAAATATAACACTTTCTGAAAATCATTTTTGGTAAGAAATTAGGCTTCTAAATATTTTCTGTAGTTTTCACAAGGATAAACATTACTAACTCAAAATCTAAAAAGCATTAGATCTTAGCAGTGCTTGTAAGTGTGAGATATGCAACAGTCAACACAGCAGTGAGCTCTGTAGGTAGAAAACAGATGCTATGCGTATAAAAATTTGTACTTTTAAAAATAAAAGTAGCTTACTGGATGAACGCTGAATTGGACTTGAAAGAATGCTTCAAATACATCTTAGTGTCCTACCTTTCAAGATGAACATAGTGGCGAGAAAGAACATTTTTAATCAGAAGTACAGTTTTTGCATAGATCTCTGGACCAATCAACTTTGAGAAGTAGAGTTTGGCACGAAGAAAGTATCCAATAGGCCACACCCATTCCTAAGCAAAGAATGATAAGAAATGGTTATTATAGCTGCCCCTTTGAAAAAGCAACATTTTTTTTCTAAGATGGAAGAAACGGACTCTTACAGGTCCTTGGTGGTAATTAAACCCTCTGGCTACATTGTAGTTGTCATTGTCAAGAGCATTATCGTATATTCCACAGTAAACCATATCACTGCAAGAAAGAAAATAAGACATTTTTAAGACTAATTACACAAATATCTGAAAGCAGAAATGAATCAAATATTTGCTCTAATTACGGCATTTACTTTTTTGAGGGTTACTGCATGCACAATCAAGTTTTCTATTTTATATGAAAACACACTTTCAAATACAGTAATAAACTGATGGAAAATAGTTAACATCCTGGCATGACCTGTACTCATAATTCTGTCTTATTCCTTTTGTTCAAACTGTAATCATGTATACAATTTCATATATATGAGTATGTATCAAACTAAAATTCAAAATCTTTTATAATACCAAGTTATAATATCAAATGCCTGCTATGTGGTATCTAAGAATACCCATCAATGTCTATATAAGTAGAACTGAATGAACTTTTAGAACACCAARCTTCTACAACAGTCCTGAATTATTTATCACAAAATCAAACTGCCACCAGTCATTAGATAATTTCTGTCATCTGGTTGTGTGATTAATACATGGTTCTTGTATCTACTATACTTACTCAGGGTCTAAAGTTTTCATGCCTAATGGACCAAGCAGCTTTTCTTCTGCTATTTGCAGAGCCTTCCAAGCTTTCTGAGGTGTGAACAGCTCAGGGGCCTAATAAATTAATTGAGATTTATCAGTAAACACTGCATGGGCAAACATAAAACTGCTTATACAAAAAACCCAAAACCCCAAAAGACAACCCTACCCACAAAAAGCATAACAATTGCATTTCCAAGTCAAAATTCATTTATAAATTTYCTATTGCCTTTGGAGCACACACAAGCCAGCAGATAGTCACTGTGTGAATTTTTTTTCATGATTCATCATCTTTGCTAAGTATATTTAATCTTTTAAAGAAGACCCATAAAAAGGAGAGAGAAGAAAACAYATCCAACCACTCCAAAATACTCCACGATTGTTTTTATTTATTTTTATTTTTAAACTACTCTACTCTGGGACAGGGGAGAACCCAAACAACAAACCAAACCTCAGAATACATTACAAACCCTGCACACTTATCCTAGTCACCCRTAAGACTTCAGTCATACACAGGCAGGCTCTATCAGAGGCTGTGTTTTAGCAAATGTTCGAAGAAGGATCAATACAGAAAGCATCACTTACCACAACCATTGCTATTGTAAAATTTGGCCTGAGTTGGTAATCGCACCATGGACTTGAAGCTCCATAGCTGTCTTTATAAATCCCACGTTTGTGGACAAGATTTGGATGCTTCTCATTTGGATCTGCTGGGTTCTCAGAGACAAAGAACAACCTTTCGAAATGTCCTTGAATTTTTCTGTTCCACTCATCATACGTGATAGTCTCCTTCTTTCCTGCAATACAATACATTGCAAACAAGTTTTATATTTGGAAATAGCCACAGCAGTAGCTGTGATACCTCTGACAGCACCAAGGTTGCACTCAAGCCATGTTCTACTATTTTAGCTAATGCATTACCAAAAGTTATTATTTATAAGTTGACAGGAAAGCAGATAAACAGCAAAATTGTACACTTAAAAGAAACAAATAGCTTGGAATGTGAAATTTTTTGAAATGTATTATCTTACAACTACTATTGGTAATTTAAATTACCAACACCATTAGCAAAAAAAGATTTTCAATTCACCTAAATTTTGTTTTGAATTCATCTACATTTCTTAGAATATTTTCATTAGTGAAATTCTGCTAGAGATATCCTCTCCAATAAGCTGTGCATAGATCTTAGATTAGCCATGACTTTGAAAAAAGCRTTAGTTTTGCATTAAGTAGATGAGAGTATTACTTGTTTTTCCCTCAGCAAGTCACAAATTAAACCATACTACCAAAATTTAAGTGGTAGGAAAAGAAAAAAAAGAAACACTAAGAGTTAGTATGTATTTTATATTTATATAAATATATTAAATGTATAAACATTAATACATATTAAATGCATATATTTAAATGAGATAGCAAATAGAAACTGAGTAAAAATTGTTTCTCAACATTATCTTTACTAAACAGTAAAATGGCTTCAGTTGTATATTCATTCCTGCACTGTAAGTGTAATCCTATCACTGACATTGACTTGAGAAGTGGTATTTGGGTTCCCAAATTATTTTGTGAACACAGAACTCAATATGGAATAAAGCATAGGTAGCAAATGCAAGAATATGGCTATGAAAATTCTCTTTTTCTAATGAAAGATTTTAATCACAGAACAATTGAAGCTGGGCAGGATCTCAAGTTCATCTAGTCTAACACCTCAATTTTATAAAATAAGATTTTCCCTGAAGTTATTCTCCTCTTGTAAATCTAAGTGGTTTGATGATCATCTCTGATGTTACACAGCCAATATTTCACCATTTCACTTATTTTAATACTCTGTTTAAAGAGTTATGAGATCTGCCTCTTTACCATGTCTTCTTATGGTAACTCCATCATATGGAAACACATTCTTCTTAAATAAATCTTGCAACCAGCGAACAGTTGACTTGCAAAGACCAACAATTTCCACAGCAGAGCCATCTCTAGAATAATCACAAAAAAGCCCAGAAATTATTTTAGGATGTTATATAAGTTGTATATTTATTTTCCCCAGTTGCCAGTGAATTTAGAAATTGCATTTTTCCCATTAGTTATTATTGCCTACACCTTAAACTGATTAAAAAAGCTGTTTGCAAACTTCATAGCAGGTCCATTAAGTACTTAGCACATGGATTCCCTTGTCTTTTCCAGCATTTTCCACTGTGTGAGAGCATAATTTTCAAACAGAACACTAAAGAGACATGTTAAACTATCCTTATATTTCTCCAGTATCACTGAAGCTTAGCCTCATTAGGGCAGGTCCAATGATCACTCTTGGTTCCCAATTGAAATGTTCAACATTCCAACAATGCATTTTCTTTTTGGTTCTCACTCTCAACTAGTAGTTGATTTGAAACTGACGATCACGTTCAAGACAGTAAGGGCAGCAATTTGCTGGCATTTAGTAAAAAAATTATTTTAAAAATGTGTAATCACTTTAATCTTAAGTAGATATTGTAGGTATTTTTGAATTCYAAATAGAAAATATTCAGACTAAACAGTTATCAATAGACATCTGCTATAAAATCTTAAGTCATTTCTTGTTAATMTATAGCAATTTCATAGTAATGTGGTACTGCAAATATGCATTTTTAAAGTTATGCTTCACTTGAATTTGAAAGCTGATTCTACATACAGAGCTAAGTCTATGTGAAGAACTGAGAAGATTTTTTCAACACGTTTCTCTTCAAATGAAGAAAGACATACAGTTAATGAATTGCAAAACTATTCAGCACAATCTGAGAAAACAGCTCTAACGTGTTAATGGGGGCAAAATAGCTCTGCAGAATTTCATTAAAAAACATGTGGATTTTGTACCTTGGAGTAGCAGGTATTCCTTTGTTACGAGCTCTATCACTCTCTCCCATTTTATCCATCCAGGTGCCACAATTGAACCGGTTTCCTCCAAAGACAAAGCCAGTTTCATGGTCAACACCTGCAACTACATTAAAACCTGCCGAGAAAGAATATCGCATGTAAAATCCATGTATTAAAGAAAACAAACAGAACTCCCCAAAACTCCCATGCAAACCTACCCAAATCTCCTAACTAAAGAATTCCCTATGCCAAAATATCCAAGACAGGCCTCTAAAATTCATTCAAAAAGTACATTCAAAAAGCTGAATTTAGAGATCATTTATTCTACAGCTTATAAGCAACTGCTGAAAGTAAACAATGGATATTAAGCATATTTACAGTCATACCGCTTAAGTAGCATTCAAGAAGCAATTTTTTTCAAGACAAGATAGAAAACAAAATAAATAAAATCTTCATCTTCTCAAATCCATATCCAGTGTTCTGCATATTCGTTACCTTCATCTCTCATGTTTTGATCTATCTGTGGACCAGCGTTCCTTTCTCGGAAATTTATGCCTTCCATATGTCGTTGCATTGCTTCCTGTATTACTTCATAAAGTGGCTGATCCTAGATTGATTGCATGATATGGGAGATATAAGAAAGGCAAAGTGAAAAATAAACAGAAAGACTCTATCAAATGTGCAAACAGTAATAAATTCTTAAGTTGTATTTTATGCTACTTCAAAAGAAAAGCATCTAGTATTCAGTTATCACCTCTATCTACTGCAATGGGATATGCTTTGTGTGAATTTGTAAYGTATACATTTTTCTCAAGATAAAGTAAAACAAAGTTTTAGAAAAGCCAACAGTATTTTTCTTTCTTCATCCTTAGCCTCCCCAACCCAATTCTCACTTGACTAAAAATGTAATGCAGATAACAATGAGACCTCAAGGAGAAAATACAAAATTCTTATTCTATAAACACCCTTCAACCTTGAATAGCACATAGCAACAGGTTCTTGTTGCTATAAACATTACATCCTTCTACTAAAAATGTATAGCTGTGTTAAAGGCTTTTTAAATTTTAATTAATCTTTACCACAGTGCCTGCAGGCTGAGGAGAAGAGTCATCTCTTGGATACATCCTAGAAACAGGACACTTGAGAATGTCTAATCCATTTGGAGCAATTTTACAATAATCTTGGATACACTGAAGCCACCACCATACAGCATCACGACAGTTGAATCTGGCATGTGTTCCCTGACCAAGAAGATTGGGAATAAGACCATGTCTTAAAGTCTCACCAAATGCTAAAATTATGTTTCTAGAAGAAAAGGCAAAAAATACACAGCCTTAAATTAGTTACAAGGTCATAACTGTTCCAAATAAGTATGAAGTATAAGTATACTTTAATATCAGGGCAAGTCAAGGATGTTTAAAGTTACAAATATATTGCTTAGCATGAACTATATTTGCAGTAAAAAGTTATCTTTAACCACTCCAACACCTGCAATGTTAATACATTTAAATCAGTTCGTTTTAGAAAAGTGCAACATTTACTAGTATGGAGAAGACTTGCTTTTTCATAAACTGCCATGTAGATATAAATCAATTCTTTTTATCTTTATATCTTGTGGAGAACTCCATCCAAATTAAAAGATTAATAGAACTATCAAGTTAAGACAATTGGCTCATTTTCTTTGCTCACTTATCAGATTAAACACTTAAACAGTACATACTAAGAACACCACTTTGTGCAAGGACAAGCAGTAGTGTTATGGGCATGCTCTTCTCCTAACTACATTAACATCTGCAGAATGATTTCGGAGAACAGTAAGAACTAGGGGACAGTCAGTCTCACCTTGCTTCTAGATAACGTCCAGTAATTAACATTAGACCTCTCAGTGCAATAAAGGTATCCCTTCCCCAAGAGCGAAAAATTCCAGAAGAAAAGTGAGGTAAGCCTAAAAAAGAATGTTAGCAATGTCACTGTCCAACTCATTTATTAGTATGGCCAAATTCTCCAAACTCATTTGTAGCTGCAAACCAAACAGAGAAGTTAAACAATAATAAAAGTAATCCAAGTCCATATATAACTAATTTATAGATAATATTTTTAAGAAATTAAATAAAACTCTACATATTTAGAACAATTATATAAGATTTCAAAATAATCAAGTGGAATTATTTTTTGATTAAAATATATTAACCAAATGTCATCCCTCTAATAATAAAAAAGACTACAACTAAGACAAGACATGTTACAGGTTTTCGGCAACAACTTACATTCTAGAGCTATGCCACTTCMAGAGCACAGAATGGCTTTAACTGCACAGTTAATTTCAACAATGTTCTCAGCTACTACAGAGTGCATCATGGTTCTCATTTCCCATGAGCTTTCAAGAACTACATTTTAAAAGAAACATTATAACTTGTAATTGTTAGAATGATTCTGACTGTAAAAGCATAGTAAATGCTACAGCATTTTTCTCCTGAATTTACTCAAGTCAATCCAAAAAAGAAAAAAAATCCATGCAGTAGTTAAAGCCTGCTGTGCATGCTTGCTAGAACAAAACTGTAACATGTTACCTACTAATCTGCCTAAAGTATTCCCAGAACAGCAATCTACGTAAGAGTTAAAAATCTCAGAGAAAACTAGCAAGTAACAGGACTATTAAATTCAAATCCTTTAGTTTAGTTCAAATCTGCACTTAAGGGAACAATGCTCATTCTAAGCTTCCGGGCAACAGCAAAATAGGCAAACAGAATGCAACTAAAGAGAAAGGACAGACAATAAAACTCCATGAGAGAAAGGCAGAGAGCCAAAAGAAAATTGAAGGGCACTGTGAGGCAAAGTTCCTATAATCTGTGGATGCCAAAAGTGTCCGGGGTTTCAGAAAACGAGTGGGCCAGCTCCTGTGGCGAGGTGTTTGTATGGGAAACCACACACGCACACATTCTAAGACAGTAAATACAGAATAGTTTTGGCATAGGCAAGTCCCCATTTGAGAGACTGCCAGATACTGGCAGGACATTTAGAAGCATAATCACTGTCTGCTGACCCTGCTTTTACATTCTTCATGCTTTATGTACCACTGTTGACCCTTTTTGAAGCTCAGAGGATATTCTGGTCTAGTATCAATTCCTACATTTTTCTGAAAACTTATAATTTCAGCTACATACCCTTAGAATTCAATTTTTAAACTCATTCAAAGTGATGAAGGAAAATCTATTTTGGGAGAAAAACTAAGTCATCGGCTAAATCATTCAGAACATGGAGAACATGGATCTCCACATAGGCTATATATATAKATTTATACACACACACACTCATATACACACTCTCCACATAAGAGTACTGCTACCTACATTTTACATAAAGTGGTTAGGATCCAGGCATAATGGACATGTTTAATAGTTATTGAAAACAGTTAAACTATTTTGTAATTTATTATTTTTGTGAGACTTATTTATATATTTTATGACCTCACTTACCAGCTGCCAAGGAAACACAACATTGTTCCTTCTCATTTGTAATCGCATTCAGCCTATAGGGAACATCAGGCAAGGAAGGCGAGAGAACTGGCAGGCAAGGGTATCTTCCTATCCCACACATCTGGATTGAACCCAGTGAAAGGTGTTTAACAAACGTTGATCCATTCTGCACAAAGCTGTAATTCAATGTAATTGTATTAAAATAACATTGCATTCAGCAACATGGTACTTCTATACATTTTATAAGAATGCAATAATAGAATTGGTTAATATGAATATTATGTATTAATTCATTTTGAATGTCGACTCCAATTTGCAAGTCTCTCCTGAATTCTTTTCAGAAATGTCTGCCTAAAGTTATGCCTAAAATTTAAGTTACTAATGCTAGTGATCTTCAATACTTTACTAGAAAAGAATAAGGAAATTAATCAACTTTGATGTCTACACAGTTTTTCTGCCACGCAAAACAGACTAATTTCCACACAATATTGCAGCCCTACCAGACTTTTTGCTCAGTATGACATGTCTATTTTTTAAAATAATGCTAGTTTGTTTATAAAGTTCAGAACTAGAATAAAACCTTCTTTAAAGCAATCTCTATTCTCTTTAAGAAACAGAGCAGAAATGGGCATTGAAGATGAAAAAATGGTCTTGCTAAGCAAAGTGCTCAGTTAATGAAGGATATTTAGCTGTGTAAACAAGTGTTCAACGCAGCAGCTGAGTCAAGTACAAGCTGATATTTCCCCTGAGCCACCAGACTTTAAGAGAGCATTAGCACTTGCAAACCTCTAAGTCCCTGAAGAGGGAAGAAATCATAAAACMGTAATAAGGCTTCAAGATTGAAGAGCATCTGCTAAACCCAGCAAATTAAAGCTGGCTGAAGGTTTCACCCTCCTATTGTGCACGGCCAGCAGTCGTTATAAATTCAAACCCACATGAGACAGAGCAATCACTCTTCTAAACCACTCTCATTAGAAGCTGTATCTGATTTTTTTTTTTACTACAGATGTTATTGTTTTCCATTGGGCAATATGTTAACAAAAATATTTTAAAAACATTCTCCAACAGATAAAATAGAGAATGTGATGAATACAGTTATCTACCTGGACATCTGATGCCATGCTACATCCAAAAGCGTAGTGTATGCACCCACTAATATGGCATCAAAGTAACAGGGGATAAGGTAACGTGGAATTCTCTTCAAGTAGACAAACATGGCCTGCAACCACTCACCAACCTATTAAAGTAAAATGTAAATGTTAACATCACCAGGATTCAAAACCAAATGCACTGAGGATCCATTTCATTTAATTACAGTTTACATATCCAAATTATACAACCCAGTAAAGTTGCAACTGCAAAACTCATTACAAACCAAGTGTGACAAACAGATTTTGGATTGATAAAAAATGACAGGATTGAAGACAGAAACCAAAGGATTAAAAGAATTATCACAAGACTAAATTATGTACAGCTGCTAGAGAAATCACTTGCAGATCTGGTCTGGGACTGCAGAATCTGGAGCTTCATTGTTTTTGTGTCTCTAGCAAGTGTTGGACATTTGAGAAATATTTCTCTTTCCATTCTGGTATTGTTTAAAGGAAGAGGACAACCGTCTATAAAGTCACTGCTAAGAAAGATTCAAGCCATTCAGATACACTACATAGATGACAAAGTATGTGTGCATATATTACATAATACTACAGTTAGCTTGGAACATTTAAGAACACAGCAGAAACAGAAAAGGAAAAAGGAAGTATTTTTAAAACCTTAAAATTACCAAACATTTTTTACTCACTTCTGCACAGGCTCCTGCACGCGAAATCAAACGATTGCTGACATAGTCAATCATCCAGTCTCCAGATCTTAAATTATCACAAAATGGATGACCCAAATCATTCTTTGGTCTAATGTCTGCCATCACTGACATTAACCCTGAGGATACAAATCCAACCCTATTACAGGACATGCAATTATCAAAAGCAGTTGCTATTTTCAAAGTAAACAGCTAAAGTAATAGCAGCATTAAATTGATTTAATTATATTATTTCTCTTGAGCTGCAGACAGTTAGATTCAACTCACTTAGAATCACAGAATCACATGTCCTCTGAGAAAATGGTAAGACAGTCAACCAAAACGTCCCATTGTGGATTAAATAGCATAATGAAATTCATAGTTTTCATAAAGAACTCTTCTGAAATCTGGTAGTACATAAGGTTTAAATAAGGTGGTTTTCATTGGTAGATTTTAAAAAAGTACAAGAACACGGCTGTTAAGATGGATATATTGATACTTATTTTGTAGTCCTGACTATTGCAAAAAAAGGCTGTTTTAATATGCTGCCTCAGTTTCATTCTTTAGGGTACAACAATTATGAGCATGGCTAAGCAGAAACAATTTTTTTTTTTTTAAATCCCAAGGGAAGGGAACAGTACAAGCCATAAAACAGTACTAAAGGTTGAGACTTTTAGTCTCAACAGTAAGGGCTGAGACTGAGAATCTTTTTTCCTTAACAGGAAGGAAGAAAACAAAAATATAGAAAAGAAAAAAGCATGCTAAGCATCTTGCAATTACTACCTTGGAGACCTGCATACTTGAGCGGTGACCAGTTTGGAATGTTGTAACAACCACCACCATCTTCTTGTTCTTCTGCCTCGCATCTATATAGCACTTGATTTAGGTCAGCCAGAGTTAGCTTAGATGCAATACTGGAAAAAAGGGGTAAAATAAAACAAAACAATACTAACAGAAAAAGAATTTCCCTAACAAATTTAGTTTCCTATTTTAGTTAAAATAATTAAACAACTTACCATTTAAGTCTTGGAAATATAAAAATCTTTCTCACACTTCTAAATGATTCTGCTCAGAAGTTTGAGTATGCAGTACTACATACTTAAGAGATGAAGAATCGATTGCTAACAAACATACCCCAACACTGACAAAAGACCCTATTCTTGGTAAATCTACTTAAATAAACAGAACCTGAACAGAGCCTGAGAATCTTCTATTAACCTCTTAATATTACATATACAAATGTTATTTACATTCCAACAACCCATATCTGTAGTAATGGAAATACTCTAAATTTACATACTGCTCTTCACTTCTACTGTCGCTACATTGTGTATATTCATGATTCTATTTCAGAAACTTAAGGAACACTTACGAAGAAAACAGAGTTGCTAATATTGGTGCTGACTGATCATCAGGAAGACTTCCAGATTTAAAATGAGGACTGAACTGGATCAGATGATTGCGGAGTACACCAACAGCCTCTTGTGCCTTTGGGTCAAGACTAACTCTGAAACACAAATGCATGACTTATAGAAATCTAGTCCTTCCAATAACTTCCCAAACGAGAAATCCTACTGCTCTTTTCAATGTCTTTAAAACACAAAATCCTATTGCTCTATTTTAACCAGAACAGCCATTTGCAATTAATGTAACATACCTGAACACTATTACACTTCCTGGGGTTAAGTTTTCAAATTCTATTTCTTGGACATATTCATTCGGCCCTTTTATGGCAGTTCCAGCTTGCTTTATAATTTTACTGTCTTTAATCTTAGAAAAGAAAACATATTTACAATTGAAATTTATATGAAAGATCATAAGCGACAACATACCACATTGGAGCATGGAAGGAGAAATCTAATTACCTGGATATGTTCTCTGAGTTCCACTGTGAAATTGGGCAATCCATTTATAAAATGTTCATCTTTTTTGTARGGATTAACGTATCTTTCAACAACTCTAGCCTCAAATACGACTTCTTCAATTTTTCCTGTAAAAAGTTAAACAAATCATATTTTAGTTAAGATACTTCACATAKAAATTGATTCTTTCAACACGAAAGCTTCAACATGAAGCAAAAAACCCCAAAGGACAGAAAATAGAATTCCCAGTTGCCCAACTTAACAAGCAAATGAGACAAAATATACRCAGAGATGCTATAAGCCAGCCATAGATATTCATTATACGTTCACAACATTTAAAACTGGAATCTTGTTCTTTTGAAATAAATCACTTCAGAAATTAATCATAGATTGAAGACAAGTCGTTTACTCATCGTTAGCGCTCTTAGCTTCTCTATCACCTTTTAGTAGACTCTGTATTAGAAAGGCTTCCAAAATGCATATATAGATGTTTTATTTTCAAGCAATTCTGTCCATATATAAACACCCTAATTTTCTCTATCCTTTTGATAATATACAAACTAAGATACAAATCTTACAGCCATTTGTGTATGTTCTAAAGTGCGTGTCAGCATGACTGACTTTAAAATAAAAATGCATGTGGCACACACACAAAACTAGGTATGCTAAAAATCACAGAAAATTTCTCTTCAAAAATATTACTAGATAAGATGTAAATGTTGCTATACATTGCTACTACACATTATTGTAATATTGCATACTGAATTAATACTTCCTATAAAGTATAATATATATTTTTATATATCATATGCTTATATTTTATACAGATTTTTTCACCGTACTAATGATGCTGTTCCTCATTAAGCTGTGCTTTAAAACTCAAAAATATTGCATATGAAAAAGCTGAAGGGTAAGGATACTCAGACACCATGAGTTTGCCTTTTTTGGTGTAACATTTTACAAACGTAATTGAATTTCATCCTGCTTCCCCTGAAAATTAATTGTTTTCTGGAATTTAGTTCTTAGCAGTATACTGCAAGAAAAGTAATCAACAGTATATTTTCATAGGGAACGCAGAACAGGAAGTGTATTCAGAATATAAGGACCCTTAAAAAGCCTAAAGGGTTTAAGTCTATTATTCTTTTCTTTATATACTTCTGATACACATCTTGTTATATCTAAAGATATTTCACACAATGATCATTTTAACATACAAAATCAACACAAGAAAAGTATGCAGCTGGAATAAATTGAATTTCTTATACACCTGCAATTTCTTAAGCATAAATCTGATTACCTGGGATACACATTTCAGGTACTTCTTTACTGTAGAAGGAAGTTTTAGGATCTCTGAAAGCAGTCCGACTCACAGCCACAACAGACTGGTGCGTGTTAGGACAATGTCTTGTCACAGCCACTATATCTTCATCAACTTGATCCACATACACCTAGAAAGGACAAACCATGACAGCTGTGCTAACTTACAAACTAAATACTGAGAAAATACAGTGCAATTCTCACTTGCCTGATTAAAGCCTTTAGCCCCCAGCTCCTGATGCAGCCTGTTTATAGCCAACCTTCCTGCCAAAATTCCTGTTTCAAAATTAACTTCGCCAGAACTCAGGTGTGCTGATGGATTCCACTTGGAATAAAACCTCTCTTCAGATACTACAGAAATCTGTAAAGAAATTTATGTTTAAATGTATATGACCCACTAAAATCATTGAGAGGCTCCAAAAACACCATCAATTCAAGTTTCATGTAAAATTAGACAATTCAAAGTAAGGATGGCTAGGCAACTGCTTAGAAACCAAAATAAACAAAATTTAAATACACACACACACAAACAGCCCTCCTAGGACAAGACTTAAGTTTGCCTTTTTTAAATTTGAAATTAATTATAATTACAGACCTGGTGTGGCACTAATTCATCATAGCCTTTAGTGCTTCCTGTAGCACAGCACGCCATGGAAACAATCATTGCACTAGGAAGAGCATCATATGCAGAACGATGCTAGGTTAACAAAAAATAAGTGCAAAATTAATCAACATGTAATTCACTCTCTCCCCAAATACAAGTATGCATATAGAAGATGCACTAAATTTAAAAGAGGAACTGATTACCAGACAATTACCATTTTCTCAATCCTGATACTGAAGAAATACTACAGATATATTTATATATAACAACGTAAGAGCAAGACTCAAAAGCAAGCACTCTAATTTCCACTATTTTCTCTCCCATTTTCTCCTGCAGAACAAGAGTCAAGGAGAACAGATAAACAGGCAGAGAGAACCACTTACAGCTGGAATGAAAGAATCAAAGCAGCTCTTTCTTATCAAGACCTTTACATTATTCTACTTAAAAAAACATTAAAATCAGCTAGAATTGTTGCAGAATGTTAGTCCCTGCATGAAAATCTCAAATTATGATGTACTTTTTACTTAAATACCACTTCAAATCTAGACTATATGAAGCCCTCTCATGGTTCAAAAATATCAGTTCGGAAAGGATTAAAAGTAACGCTTAAACTGAAGTGCTCACCTGAATTGGACACTCATTATCATGCGTGATATCCATGAACAGTGCATGAGCAATAGCTGGCATCAGAGGTCTCAAACGTGGCTGAACAAAAGAGCCAACCGGTTCACCTCCAAAACGATAAACTAATCTCCCCTCTTCATGGCTGTTATAAGCAGTCATGGCCTCTGAAGAAAAAATTCTGTGTTTGCATGAGAATAACTACCACAGAGGAGAGCATGCACAGATGTAATAACACAGCATTTTAAATTTTTATGTTGGTGTGTTTGCTAGGAAAGGAAGGGGGAGCTGAAGGTGTTAATTTTATTCTCTAATGTGGATGCACAATCTGCAAGTATGCCATCTGCTATAATTGTATTAATGTAGAAATAGATGGGGGAAAAAAGGCAGACAAATCTGAAACATGTTTCTAACAGGCTTTAAGAAATTCATGCAACAAAATTCATTAGCAGGACACATGACATAGCACTTACAAAGGTGTGCTCAAACTTCTTTCTCTTGGTAGAGTAAAATGTTTAACCTTCTCCAAACTAACGCAAGCTGTCTCCTCTCAAACTTCAGCTAATACTGTACTTTGTTGATGAGGAACAAAAGAGTCACAATACAAAAACTGTACCTATTAATTTCRTAACGCATGCAATCAAGGAACATAACTAGGAAGAACCTTTTCTCCGTACAGAGCATATCATCTATAACTTCTGGTAGGAAAGAAAACTATATACACAGCAAGCCTACCTCTTATTAAGGAGGCAATGCCCAGACTATTCACAAAGATATTGTCCAGCTCCTCACTTCCCGTGAACAGCTCAGCCACTACATACAAATCAGCTCGCAATTTTCTAGCTGTGTCCAGCATGTACTGCAAAAAGTACAGCCAAAAAAGCCACAGAAAGAGGAAAGGCAGACACAGAAAATGAAAAGTTTCAAAGCTAGGCAAGGATTGGAGAATGGGAAAATACCATGCAAAGAAACAGAAAGCCAAAATTCAAGAAAAAAAGATGATACACAAATATGAGCAAAAATCAAGAATTAGAATAAGAGAGAAAGCGTTAAAAAACACAAAAGAGGTAAGATAGTTGCATAAGCAAAGATAATAAATACGTAAGAAAAAAGCATACCAATGTTAATTTCATGTTAAAAACTCCAATCATACGTAACCCTATGCAACTTTCAATTGCTTATTGTACCTCTAATCAAGCTGGTAATTCCCAGGCGGTTGACAAAGATATTGTCAATGTACTCACTGCCCGTGAAGAGTTCAGCTATCACATAAAGATTAGGTCTGACTGATCTGGCTGTTGCTAGCATCTCCTATAGATCATAACATATTTTTAATGGAAGTTGTCCACTGTAAGCTTGTACATGTGCAATCATTAATATTAATGTTAAGCAAAACAAATGAACTTTAATATACGTAGTGCATTAAAGAATGAAGAGAGGCAACATTGATAAACCATTTATGTTTTGTAAGTTATTTACAGATTGACTATTCTAGGAAATTCTCAAAAGACTAAGGCAACTACAAAACCAAAAATTTGACTCGAAGTGTAAGAACAGAGGTTGGATAAAACAGATGCATTTTAAGTGCAGTGCAGGACTTATTTCATAGTCAGAAGCTGGTTTATCATAAGCATGCTTAATCTTGCGTACCTCAGCTACATGAATAGGTGTTGAGTGACAGTTGTCAAGACGAACACCATGGAAATGCTTAGCAGTAATTTCAGTGTACTTTTTCATATGTGCCCAGAGGTAAGGACAATCTTCTGGTTTTTCACCATAACGCAGTTTCACACTGTCTCCCCAACAAATAAGCTCCCTCCTCAGRTAAACATTAGAGCCTGTAAGGGAACATAATTAAACTATAGAATGCATCATACATGAAAATGAAAATGTGATACTTTACTTTCTACTTCTGAACAGTAGGAAAGTGTTGTGGAAAATTAAAAAAATTCTAACAACCACCATTTCATATTCAAATCTCTATCTCCTACACTGATGCATAAATTCAGACTCCAAGAAATACTTAAGATCTGTAGTTGAACTGAAATAATTTTTCTTTCTGAATTAATTTTTCAAATACCTCTGTATCTGAGAACACAAAAAAGATTCCACGTATTCAAACCATGGTACTACAACTCCACTTTAGAAATTTTTCATAGTTAGTACTTTATAAAACAGCAAACAACCAGCCTCAAATTCTCTATTTCAGGTGGTTTTAACTAATGATCAGATTTAAAAGGTATTTGTGCTACTATAACCTGTATCATAGTTAAATAAAGTTTATAAATAAAAGCATGCCACAGCCACAATTTCAAACTGCTGCTAACGGTAGTTTCTGCTGAGGTAAGACATATTTCCAAAGTACTTAAGCATCTACACTACTTAAATGAAGTCCCTTAAATGGTTGTTGCATATGGAAATTTTCATCTTTTATCTGTTTTAGTTTTACTATAGATTCTGCTTTTTTTTTTGGATGCAATAAATACTAAAAAAACAAATTTAAAGGTTGTGTATTTTATTTTCTGGGGCAGACTCAACATAAGTCTTGGATGGATGCTTCTAATTAGAATTAAATTTGGCTGTGGTTCATTCAGGTTGCAAGCAAATGAACACTCCCACTCGCCAGCCTCACTCTTACAAAACTGTGTCCAAAGCAAACTGGAGTGCAACATTTTAATGCATGGTAAACTCATATCCTATCTTACCATCACAAGCAGTCCCCATATTTAATTTGGATTCATTTTCTTAGTTATTCTTGCATTGACAAGTCTTATGAATTACATGCTTAAGATGCCCCTACTGACAGACCTGACATATATATATGACCAACTTGGAATTCTCCCTTTAGGGAGGAATACTTGGAGTAATGTTATCAATTAGTAAGCTTTCAAGTGATTTTCTCTTTAACAGCATCAAGATTTCAGTTCAATCATTAGCAAACTTTCTCTTTGTGAGCAGGATCTGTTCTAATGTAGAATATAGACTACAAAAGAATAGAAAATTACAGCAATCCAGGGCAATCTGAACTCCACAGAGAAATAAATTATTTCAAAAGGTACTTTGAGGYATCCTATAACCTCTCTTCCTATCCTTAAAACCCACAGAAAGTATTTGCTTGCACTCTTCAAAACCCAGTGTTTAAACATTAAAAAAAGCATACACTCAAAACCTTCAAACGTGTAAGTACTATTTAAGAACACTTTAGAAATTTATCTACATAGCTTTGTCTTTAAAGTATTACTACAAGCAATTTTGCAATGCCAGTGCAACGACCAACACTATTCTACCTACACAGTCAAGCTGTGAGACTGCACTCAGTTGTGCACCTCAACAGTTAGCTAACAAGATCTATTCTTTCACCCCTTCCTCTCCCCTGCTCCTCCCTATCCCATCCCTACATCACTTGATGTGGCCCCCGCTCAACTGCCTTCACCTGCAGCACTTGCTGCATCTTTCAGGAGCCAGCTCTTGCTCACTGATGCAGCATACTATCCATCTTACCACTACATTAGTTTTCTGCTTAAAATAGCGTATTTTTTTTTAAAATTTGAAGTTTCTTTACAAACCTGGTTCAGCAAAGTTTTTAAGAGGATCATCTCCCATTACCCAGCCATTATGGGCCATGAAATAACAAGCCTTATCTGGCTGATGTATCATAGTTTCCTCTTCCTCCACAGTCAGCTCTTTGAATGGGTAAGTAAAATATCTATGGAATACACAAGCAAAAAGCAAATCAAACCAAACAGATACAAGATAACCTTAACTGCAATTCACTGCCTTTGAAATTAAAGAGCATCTGCTATAAATTGACTTTTAGATAAAACAAAAAGCAGCTGCTAGACTACAAATGATGGGCAATTTTCTATTTTGCAACATGTCTCAAAGGAGGAAGGACAGTTGTTTTCACTATCTCAGTGTGAGCTGATTGTATAAAAATAAAATCCCAACCCCTCAGACACACAAGCATCACCAGGTACACAAAAAACGAAAGGTGTAGGCTTTCCTAGTTCCTTCCCTCCTCCACCCACAAGAGCAAGGCAATATGCAGGGCTTTAATGTGCCCTGAGTAATGTATCATGCTCTCCGAATCCACATCTTGATCAGTTATTATCACTGTGTAAATCTTCAATTCATACATTACATGACCATTGAACATGAGAGGAAACATGCACTTGTATGATTTTTCTCCTATGAATTTTTACTTCTAATGAGCTTTGAAATTACTTTCCTTCTATAGGATTTAACAGTTTTCAATTAACAAAAGTTATAATACCTGGTAACTAAAGGGTATTTTCTAGTAACAGGACCCAGTTTAGGACCATGACCAGCCATTCGTTCATAAACGACAGTACCCACAAGGCAGTTGATAGCCTAGAAATAAATCAGTCATGCATTATTAAAAAAGTTAATTTATTCACAATTTAAAACAAGTCAGCATTAAAACACATCAATTATAAGACCTGCTCTTGATGGTGATTAATTTGTCTGTATTGTTCAGCATTCAGTTCTTCAATTCTCTTGCGAAACCAGTTACAACACTCTTCTATTGCAGCTGGTCCGTTGCTTGGAAGGTGGAAATTACAGAGAACAATTAGAAAAACTCATTTTAAAATACTTCATAATAAATACACAAATTAAAACGTTAGGAAAATTTTGCATGTTTCTCAATATAATTTTATCTTGTTTCATTCTGCAAATTTAATTTCATTTCTATGTTTAACTTGGAACCAATAATACAATAAATACCTGTGTGGGATGAAAGTTGCCAGTGCTATATCCATATCTACAGTACAGCCAAGTCGCTTATAATTAGGATCCTGAATTATTTTAAGATGCTGATGTGGATCAGATTTAGTGCTCATTTTGCCTGAGGACAAATTTTAAAATTAATCATTAAATAAAAATATAAAATACCTTTAAAAGACAAACTACATTTGTTATTCTGGCATAAAAAAGACAAGCATTTTAGAAGCTTGTAAAAGAAAAGAAACTTAGATCTCAGAAATGGCTGTTCAGAAAAAAAACTGTCCTCAACTATCATACTGGATCTGAGGAAAAAAAAATATATTCCTTTCTATTAAATTCTTTTTTTTTCCAAGAAAAGCCTTCAAAGCTCTCATGGCATCTACATACATTTAACTTGGCACAGTAGATAGATTTCCTCACATAACAAATATTGGTGTTTTTTGTTTTCTAGCTTTTATATATGCTAGAATTCAAGAACCATTATATATCACTATAAAAAATTATATGTGGCAATTTAGTTTACCTTGAGTTAGAAGGGTTTTAAACTGCTGAACTGCTTTGTTAACATCCACTTGGAAAAATTCCCACAGCCTAATTTTTGGATATATATCTTCCCAGATAATTTTACGGATACACTGTAAAAGTAAGTAAAAAATTTTGATGATTAACTGGTATGATCAAAAACACTAAGGGCTCATTTTTTAACAAAAGAAATGTTTAGGATAAAAATTTTTCTACTAAATAGCATATACTGCAAATTATGTACCATGTTTTGCAAATCATCACAGTCCTTAAACAATGTTTCCAGTTCATTAATATATATTTATTTCTTATTTACTTACATTCAGGTGATGATCATTTTCAATTAAAGGAGGGACTCCTTTGTCAATACACTTTCCTCCAGCCACCATACAACTCAAGTGCCAGAGAGCTCTATCTAAGACCCAGGCTGGCTTCAGGTGAGGAGAATTTACAAGGTTGTAGCCACATTCTGGATGCATCCTGAGCCATTCACTGTTAGCAGCTTATTTTAAAAAGGGGAGAAAATATATAGCCTGAATAYTTAGTTGTGTATGAAAATATCTTAATACCAAGAACTTATGGTAATGTATACTTCATTCACATTTAATTAAGTTTTCCATTTATTTCAGCTAACAGAAGAATCTTGTCTATACAAAAGTGTTCATTGTTAATAGCATTTTTTCCACAACATTCAGTCATGCATACTGCAGAGAAACTTCTTGTTAGTTATGTAAAAAAATAGCACCACCAATTTTAATATACGGAGAAAAATTATGTTTTTGTTGCAGGAAATATATCAAGAAATGCTTGTAAAATCACTGGATGCGTTCAAGAACAACTGTACATTCCATATCAAGATTTAAGGTAAGTTATTTTATATTCATACCCTTAASATGTCAAACACAAAACTAACGAAAAATGTACTTAAATGCATCTCACCCAYGGAGATGGGTGCACACAAACACTTTCAAATCAGACACTGCTACGATATCTCCATTTTCTAAACTTCTCCTATAGTACCAAACAGCAGATTAAAAAACACGCCCCCCCCCCCCCAAAATAGACTATGATGGGATTAATTCAAATAAGTTAAAGAGCCTTCACTTGCAAATGGATGTAATCTATTACAGTGGTAGACAGCAACACAGGTAAATACATACAAAACAGAATATTTTAATTTTTGAAATAAAATTCAGTTTATGAAACTGTCCTAAACATGCAGTTTAACAGAAAATACTCTCCCTAAACTCTTTCAAATTGAATTTAAAAAACAAAATGTTAAAGAGGATATGCAGTAGACAAAAGAATACTACTCAAATTTCACTTTTGACACTTTTTTCTTTTTTTAAATAAAACCTGCCTCATTTTTCTTTTTTTTAGAACAGAAAAAAATAGGGTCAAACTCACAGAAAGCATTCAGTGAGTTAAGGCAGTCATTAACATGTCCACAACTGCAGAACAATTAAGAACTGAAAAACAACTTTGTTTTGCTCAGAGAAGTTCAAACAAAAATGTCAAAGGGAAAGAAAAGTGTACTCTCTCAGCCTCCTGTTTGAATAGCTCTTCTAAACACCCTCCTATATTACATCTCAAGACCATTAAGGGCATGGCATGAAGATCTCAATTTCCACAAATGGTTTGACCTTATAAACATGGAATTCTGCCATCTGCATCTTACTGATTTGCAAGTTAAAGTGGAGGCTGTTAAAGCCTGTTTTTGGCCAAGCAGATCTCTTTTGTTTTAATATATGCACTACTGGGGCAGGATTCTTCTCCAAAAAAAAGAGAAAAACTTTACTCCATCAGTAAATACAATTCTAAAAATAAAATTCCTCATTTTAATCCAAGATAATAAATTACCTTAAGGAGACACTCTTCTTAAAGACACAGAAACTATGATTTAAGTTTGTCACTGAAAATTCATGGAAAAAAAGGGTACTTTGTATTTTCCTTTCTATTACCGAAAAGTAAATGCTGATGAAAATATGATTTTGTTTGGATACTTTGAAAGAAGTATCAGCTCAAAAAGAGGGCAAATCTACCCAGTTACAGGTAGGGCTTTCAAGYTCAGCTATGACCTATATCTCCTCATAACAATGCTCAACATGTACCTATATTTACTATGCACATACATTTACCATTATTTTTAAATTCAGGACATAGCTGTTGACTTTTCTTCTCTATTTTAGAGACTAACAAAGACATTAACATCAAAACACAATTCCAGCCTTCTCTACAAGAGAGTCCAAGCACTCTCTGCTTCTTTCTAATGCAAGAATCAAGCACATTGCTTAAACACCGAATATTCACACTGACTTCTCTGACTTTACAGTAGGAGGAGAATTCTTCATTTATACCTTCATTACAGCATACTGAAGGAAAACTAAACAAAAAAACTCCCTACCACCATACTTGAGCTATAAATAGCTAGAAGAAATAATCTTTTAAAACACTGGCCTATTTACAGGAAAATATAACAAACAAAAACAAAAGATAAAACCACAAAACCTCCTTATTCATCTTTTTTTCTCCTTTGCTTAATCAGTCTCCTGTCCCTATTCTTTTTATTATTTCCTTGCTATAACTAAATATAAATTCTAACTTCTCATGATTTTATTCACTGCAAGATTTATTTACCTGAAATAGAACTTAAATTAAGATGCTCAGAAACACAAAATGCTCTGGAACTCTGACTGAGTTTATATAATACTTAGCAAGCTCTATTTAAACATGCAGGCAGAACTCCATCTAGAAAGCTGCTCCTAATGACAAAGATGCTTTTTGAGAGCAGCAGGAGACTATACGCCTAGAGAAGAGCAGCTATTCTCAGCACAATACAGACGTGCCAAATGCCCACCTGTTGGTTTTTTTTTGAATTTGTTCTCATTTTATTTTTTTAAACTAGCTGCATGCAACTTTTCTAAACTATCTTTTTTAGCTGGCAATACAATATGTTCAATAGATACATAACTCTACTATTTATTTACCACTACAGTCTCACMACAAAATGAACTCTTTATTAAAGAGATAATAAATTTCTCTTATGTGAGTTTCACTCAGGTCAGATATCCGCTGAAGTTATTTCCAATACTATGCAGATACCCCAACATTCCCTCTCTTTGCACTCAGTATCCTCAAACAACTGTGACACCTTCAGAGAACTAGTAAACAGCGTAATAATCCATTAAAATAAAAGGAAAAAAATAGGTACACTGGTTCACCATCTTCTCAAAATCTCCTGACCTTCAATGTAGCTTTCTTAGTCTTAAACATATCATGAATAGTTTGATTTATGACTAGTAAAATAGTGCTATCCAAAATGCTTATGATTTGTCTCTTACAAAAAGTTGCAAAAAGAACAAATGAAAAAATATTCTTAGCTTTTGCCAAAAAGGATGTCATTTAAAAAAGAATAACAGAAAGAAGTTTTGCCACATTCTATTTTGTTATTCATGACCATGCTTTTCTCTATCAGACTAATTAGATAGCTACAAGAATAGTTAAACAGTTTAATCTACAATATATATTTGTAACACAATACTTAGAAAAACAGTCAAGTATAAGCTTGTGAATGCCCTCTGTGAAGACCTCTAATCACTCTTTAACAATACAGAATTCTTTTCTTGCACTCTTAGTAGATATGTCTCTAACAGACGTAAAAGTGGATCAATATTAAGGAATGAGTGGAATATCATTACCAGACTAATCTGGTTAACACATGTGGAAATCTTACCAGTATGATTGTAGACTACATCTGTGATGCAAAGCATATTCCATTCATTTTTCATTTTTTCCACAAGAGCCCCTATATCGCTCCAAGTGCACTTTTTATTATGGCTTGAAAATTCGGAGTTTACTTCTAATTGATCCGCCAATGAATAACATGATCTAGACAGTCCAAGTTTCTGAAGTGGTGTAAAATGAATCATATTGTAACCTAAGTAACAAGAAAAAAACTCCGTAAAAGTTCATTGCCAAAAGCATAATAAATTACAGTCATAAAAAGTATTAAAAGCTAAAGTCTGAAGTAACATGTAAATTACTCTGTTTTCCCACCAACATGCTGCATAATACTTGTCTTAATCACACTCCCCATTCTACAAGCTATTATATCCATTCAAAACGAAGTCAATAAAATCAGTGATTTCTCATACAAGTTCCAAATTCTTGCATTTAAGCATCTATTTTAATTGTTCCACTAACTTAAACTATGAAATTTGTTGAATCTGGTGGAAAATACTTACATATTTATCTTCAAACTAAAGAATAAGTGAACTGTTTATGCTGAAGGTCCTCCATGCTTTTTTTTTTTTTTAAATCTTTTAACTCTTATTATGTATATTGGTATTACCTGTTTCTTTCGCAACTTTAAGCCTTTCTTCCCATTCATGAAACGGCCCCAAACACTTAGCAAGGAATGTCTGGAGTGTGACACAATCCAAAGGTAGCACATGATTATCAGCTCCAACACGTAAAATAGGATCCACAACTATGTAACCTCCACCGCTTTTCTCATTTCTAGGAAAAAATAATGAAACTGACATGGATATAGGAAATACCAGTCCTTTTCAGAAATAGAAGCTGACAAATGCACCTATTTTAAAATACTGAAGGCTATTCAGCAGCGTACTAAATAGAACAGGAAATACTGCAGCAACATGCATCTCAAGTACCATCTCTGCACTGGACTTGCACCAGTAGTTGAAGGAATAATTAAAGTACAGAACCTTAAGCTCTCTCCTAAGTGAGATGCCTTTGGTATTGTCTTGGAGACAGGATACTCATTCCTGCTTTTAGAATATGGCTGCAAAGAAAACGTGACTGCGCACTGGAGAACTATACGGTTAAAAAAAGAGACCTGGGCTCTTTAGCCTAAGGGAATTAAATTCTCAGCTCTATCTTTTAGAAGCTCACATTAGATTATAGCCATTACAGACATGGCTGTTCTCTTCCTCTATTGAAATAAAAGTATTGTGAAGAACATCTATCTCAAAGAAAGTCCCCCAACACCTCGCCTGGCCAATGGAGAGAGTAAAAACTAACTATTCAGATATTTAGAATAGCAATTACTTTGAAATTTAATGAAAATGGTTCCAACATTAGACAACCACCACAACTTTGTATTTCATCAGATTTAGATAGGTCTCACTTTTGCATTTAAAATACATAGAAAAAATGTGCTTTTATTCTTAACAGTATTTCTTCAGGATTAAAATGGATGCAAAAATAGGGAGCATACTACATTTGTCAAGATGTATAAATTTTCCCTTACCCAAGACTGAAATAATACTGATAGGACCCAGAAATCTGGAGATCCAGTTTGCAATATTTGTCAGAGTCATCTTCTTTTCCTGTAGGATTGTGCCATGATAATGTCCTGAACTTGCGCCGATCGAATACTTCTCCAGAAGCTGGATAGTTAGTGTACACAGTAACATGCTTGCCTTGAAGAGTTGGGCCCAGTCGAAACTGCAGTTCAAAACCTGAAAAAAAAAGAAATTAAAGACATCAGGAGGATTAGATATTTCTATTCTGCAGAAATAGTTCATAATTTGATATTATGTTAAGAAAATAAGGCACCAATATAACTTTCAGAAACATCTGCAGGATGGCATATTTCTGTATCATMTTTCCCTGTTTTGCTATCTTTTTCCTGTGCACATTTGACGGTTTATACACAGGCCTTTTCCTTTATTGATATGGAACTATTTATCCTCTTTCCATTTTGTTTCCCTTTTCCATATAAAGTCTTAAAATCAAAAAACAGCAGATTACGGTCACCAAACCACACACAATCATATGCAGATACACACTTTTTTTTAAATGGTAAATCTCAGGTTTAAAATGTATACATTTTARCTGTAAAATCATGTTTATTTGCAAGTATCAACAGTATTTAAATAAATTGTTATATTTTCCTTTAAATCACTGAGCTCTGCAGAGCCTGTGCAAGTCCTGCAACTCATGTACGCATTGGAAAGTATTTAGGTTTAAKATAATCAGGATAGAGAGAATACAATTAAAATATTAGGACTAAAATTGTATCGGAGATATTTCAGCTGAAATGAAGAATTAAGAACAATCAACAGGTCTTGCAAAACGTTTCCACCTGCATGTATAAAGGTCTTCATCAAGCAAGTGCTGAATTACTACAGCRTATTTCCAGATAACTGGAACAGGTAGATGTTTACGTGTTTGCATAAAAACTTTTACTAAGTTATATGTCAGTCATGCAATTGCCTACCGGCACAGCCTACAAATGGGAATTCTGAATGAAAGAAGTTGGTGCACTCRTAAACACAAATAATTGAAAGAATTATTTCTAAAATAATTCAACAAGTTCCACTTTCTTAAGCTGGAAAGGGGTTAAGTTGCTTAAGAGGTAGAATCACAGCAGATCTAATATCAGAGTTCAGCTGCCTGGGCATATTTAAATATTTAAGTATCAACAAGCTCATAGTTTTTCTTGTTAACATAATAGTCACTGCACCAAAGAAGTCATATAAAGCAGTAGTGTTATTACTATCTGAATGTCTTTCAGGTAAAAGTGAAGCTCACTTGACTGCTAAAATTTATACAAAAAAACACTTTTGGAAGGCAAGCACAATTCTCTACAGCAATATCTTGACATTTTGCTACTGAGAYTTCTAAAATTAGAGCACAGGGATATATGCCACTGATATCTTATTTCCTGTAGCAGTTATACTGACGGCAGGAACGTGGTACTCAGGTTTCACGCAGTGTCTCCGACACGGCTACCAGCAAAGACACTTTGACATCTGAAATCCCTGCATTTTTGTGTGTCTCTCTCCAGGAAAACTTACTCAACAGCTCAAAGTCAATAACAGAGGTTAGGTTCCACACCGCAATTTAAACACTAGCGTTACTTCTTTAGATTACAGAAAAACTTGGGAAAACATTGCATTTGAAAAGTTTTTATTTACATAAACGGGGAACTAAAGCATTACTCTGATACTACGGCAGTCTGGCAGTAAATCCCTGTGCCCGCGGCGCCCACCTTGCTCCAGCCTGAAGAGGGTCTTGTCCAGCCTCTCCATCTCGTCGAGGTGCAGCAGCCGCGTCTGCTTCGTGCTCGGCATGGCGGCCGCGGGCCGGGGGGGCTCCGGGCGGCGCTGCCGGGGCCGGGCAGCACAAGCTGCCCCGCGTCAGCTGCGGCTGCCCGCGGCGCGGGCACGGGGCAGGCGCTGGCGGGAGCCGCGGCGGGCGCCTCGGGCAGCAGCTTCGCGTCGCGCTCGGGAGCGGCTGCTCAGCGAGGCGGCCGCGGCGGTGACTGAGCGGCGGCGGGCGGAGGCTGCCGGCTGCAGCGCTGAGCGGCGGCGGCGCCGAGCCTCCTGCCCGCCCCCTTGCCCGCCCTCCGCCCTCCCTCTCGCGGAGCGGCCGTTGCAGGCTCCACCGCGCGCGCAGGCGGCGCCCACGCAGCTCCCGCGAGAGYCGCGTGAGGCCGAAGGCAGCGCCCGCAGGGGCCGCTATTTGAGGGCGGTGCCTCGGCGAGTGCGCGTGCGCGCCCAGCCCCTTTCCGCACGTGACSTCCCGCACCTGCTTCCCCGCCTGAGGGCGTGAGGCGCTGCGCGCTCTTAAAAGGCGGTTGGGCGGGAAGAGGCGCCTCTCAGGGCTGCCTGGGGTCCATGTGTGCCGACTGTGGGTCCGCTCAGGCGGCTTTCTCTTCCCTTGGGGCCGCGCTGGACCCTTCGGGCCGCAGCCTGACTCGCTTTGCCTCCCTTTGCCTTGCCTTGGTAATTTCCCTCTAAGGAAAGGGAAAAAAAATAGTGATGTCAGCTAGAGGTTGTGTGCTATATGTAGCATGTGGGCTAAAGTACCGACTCTGAGGGCATTTCTTTGGCCAGATGTAAAACAGTTAAGGAGATGGGGGAAAAGAAATGCTGTTTATTTGAAGAATGTCTTTAGCTGAAATGCTGTCCCCTGACAGCCTTTGTGGCCTGTCCTTGCTGTAAGAACACAACATCTGTAAGGGTTGCTGGGGTCTCTCACCACTGAAATCCTTAACTGCAGTTCACTGAAAAGGTCAGCCTTGTGGCTCCAGAAGGTCAGTCTATTTTTATTGCCTAGAGCTACATATAAAGCTTACAGTTGGTGTGTTAAACTGCTTGTCTTTATTTTTTTAAAACATGGTATGTTAACTGTCTGCAAAACAAGCTGAATAGGGCTCTCAGTCACCACATGCATATACTTATAATTGTGTCATTTASTGTAATATGTTCACTCAACATAGTCTTAAGGTACTGAGCTATATAGAAACACTTCTTCCCTCCCTTCAAACTGTAGTTGTTATCTGTTAGTATTTGTTGATATTGATCTATCTTACCAGTGTGTATAAATACTTTAAGGCTACATCCTCAAGAGGATGAGACTAAGCTGTCTTCAGTGGTGGTCAACAATACCACAAGCAGCAATAACCACAAACTGAAGTGCAGGAAATTCCGTCTGAATTTGAAGAAAACTTTGTGACCATAAGTGTAAGAGAGCCTAAGAACAGGTAGCCCGAGAAGGTTGTGGAGTCTCCTTCTTTGGAGATACTCAAAGGTTCCTTCCAACCTTAATCTTTTTGTGATTTTGTGAAACTGGATTATTTTAAATGGATGTTTCCTTGGGGCCCTGAGGGATTCTCCTTGCTTTCACATCCTTCTTAGTTTACTTAATTTTCTACCGGGCAAGTTTTTGTGCACAGGACAGACTTGCAGGTACCAGAAGCACCACTCTATCAATAATGTTAACTGCTTTTTCTGAATTGCAGGTGTGCTAGAAGAGAACATAAAACATAGGCATGGGAAATGTATGAAATACCAACGGGTAGAATAGTAGTAGGAACAAATTAGACATGCAAAATTGACAGGCAGCTGGGCCATCTCTTTGCTATGGTTTTCACCAGCCTTCAGTGTCTAGAAGTGACTTTGTAATTTCCTTGCCAGCAAACCTTGCACAATTGCCTCTTCCTCCAGGCTGGCTATTGCATACTGTGAACAGGGAGGGATTTAGAAATCTCACAGACTATACTTGGAGTCAACAGTTCTTTGAAAAGAAGAGCAAATAATGTAAATGTAATGTAAATAAGACCTTTTCATAAGTAGCTGCTCTAAAGTACCAGCTGGATACATGGTCAAAAGCAAAGAAAACGAAAAGGGTTATTACTCAAGGCAGTTTCAATGCTGCTACTGAAGTTTCCCAATGTGGACATTTAATTTTTATCTTAATAATCATTTAATAAACATTTAATTTTCATCTCAGATAATTTTCAGTCCCAATCCTCCTTTCTACCAGTTTTTCCGTTTTACAACAGTGCACAAGGTAAACAAGAGCATCAGATGGGAAGATGATATGAGTAGCTTGCTCTAGCGTGCTGGAAAGCTAAACTTCAGACTGACAAATACAAATTTTCTAGCAAGAAATGCAACCATCTCAAAGTTTTCAGTTGAATCATTGCCCCTGCTTAATGGTTTATCTTAATGTCAGACCTTTTGGCTAGCTATGAATGCAACTCAGCATTACTACTCAGAAGTAACTTGTTCATAGTTAGGCAGTGGCATCTGTGAACTAGCAGGAACTGGGAGTTGCTGTAGCTCAGTTGTTTGGATTATCTTATCTCTGTGCAAGCCAGTTGCTCTYTGTAGGTTTCTGTGTAGTCATCACAAGAGAAAATGTTTTATTTTGCTTAGTGGCTAATGCCATCATGTGGCTAACTACGGTTATTGACTAAAAGAAGTGAAATTGGTTCATTTTCCTTTTATGTATAACAAATACTGCTTGTATAAAAACATTTTCCAGTGTGATTTTTTTTGTACATAAAAACATATAGTGTGTTTTGCTGCATAAAACAAAAGAAAAACTAATAACAGTAGAAAGGGTTGATCAGTAGAGAGGCATAAAGACCAAAGAAATGTACTCATGAAGAATATATATGGGGTTACACAAGAGGAAAATCAATAAATTTAGATGTGAGGACAGTTATCTTTATGGAAAGGCCTGTCTCCAGCATGTAATGGGCCAAGACTAAGTGCTCAGACAAATAGTGTAGGAAGATAGAAAAGAGCATCACTCCATACGTAAGATTAGCAGCAGTATTTGCTCACTGCACAAAATTCACAGTAGTTTAAAAGCTCTTCTAGTTCTGATCATTAACGCTGCTAATGCATTTTTAGAGAAAAGATAATAAAATAACAACTTCTCCCACAGAAAATTATTTTCCGAAGGTAGGAATTCAGGCCTCTATTTCCACTTAGTCACCATACTTGTAGGTAATTATTTCTGCATGTAGACAAAGCCTGAAATCAGATTATGGCAATTATTAAATGCATGCCAATATGCCAAAACATRAAGTATTAATAATAACTTATCAGATACAAGTTATCCATGGTCAAAACAACTTGAAAGAATGACAAYTCAGTTACCTCTGCTGCAAATATGCAGGGCTGATGTATGTGAGCTGTATGCTGTGCTGTTGCATTTTTAGTTAATAGTTCAATTTTTGTGCTACTTAGTGAGGACACTAAAGTGAAGGAAAATAAGGCCTGCAGAAGCCTGTGCAAGCAGCTGCAGTTGCAGACAGTACATGTTTGCTTTGCTGATAAGAGCCCCCGGTTCTACAAGCTCGCGAACCTCAGGTACATCAGCAGCGAGGCTGGCGAGAGYGCAGCCGCCGAGGCAGGGGAGCAGGAGCGCGTGCAGCGCTTGGGGGCTGCGGAGGAGCCGGGCTCCGCCGCGGGCTGCGGCCCGGCGAGCCGCGGCGCCCGGAGCGGGCGCTGCTGCCGCCGCCGGGGGGCGGGCTGCCGAGCGGCTCCCCGCGCCCCGGGCCGCCCCGCGCGGGGCGGGGAGGGGGGCGGTGCCGCGGCCGGTCGGTCGGCTCCCGGCGCGCGCCCGCGCCCGGCAGGCACCGGAGGCAGCSCTGGAGCGGTTGGAGGCGGGGTGAGGCGCTGAGCGCGTTGTGAAACTGGCGGGTCTTTCACCCCAGCGCTTCTGAAACGCTCCTGGGAGAGCTTGCACGTGTGCCCGCCTTCTTGSGTTTGAGGTGTTAAAAAGCACCGCTCCCTGCAGAGCACGCCGGGCTCCTCCAGCACCTGTTTGCTTCTTCATGTTCCGGGAATATTGCTTTCTTACCGTACTTCTTAGTTAATGTGTATAGGAGGTGTCTGCGGTGGTTGATAATGTGTTGGTCCTGTACTTGTTGGGATAAGTAAAACTATGTCATTTTTAAGCCTATCTGTAACTTTATTTGCCRGAGACTTCATTGTATAGATAAAAATCTGCAAGGCTGTCTCTTAACTGATTATATGCAGAGCAGYTGCCTGCAAGATAGTTAAATAGTCAAAGCAAGGAGGTGAAGAGGGCAAAATCTTTGACTCCTGGTCATTCTTAGCGAAATATGTGAAGAAAACCCTAGAAAATGAGTTTTCTGTAGGCCTTAGGCCTTTTTAATATTATTTATTTCCATTCTAAAATTAAGTTCCTGTTTGGTATGGAGTAAATACATAATAAGCTGTAAAATTGTGCTGTAAAGGTGTGTACCAACTTGTACTTTGGGAAAGAAGGTACCAAAAGTGTGTGTGTGTGTTTTCTGCTTAACTGCACCAGAAGATAGTTAAAGATAATGACTTAACATGAAACTGCTGTGAAGTTTGTAGAACTTGCCAGCCAAAGCACAAGATGCAGTAGGGCTAGAGCTTCACTGCAGTTTGATTCACTTTAGATGAACTGTAGGGGGTTATGGGCTTACCTTGGGAAGTAACTTTAAAATTGAGATCTCTCAAATGTGTTATTCTTCTTTTTTTACCCTAGTTTGTTTGTTTGTTTATTGTGTGTTTGTGCTGTTTCTTGTTTCAGAAGAACTTCCTCTGATCCTGGGTGCGATGAAGGTTAATGCTGTTAGATGCAAGTCAAATAGAAGTAGCAATGTTATATAGGTTGCCCTACTACAAGTAGAAAAAGAATGACAACTTTACTCTTTCACTGTAAGAGAAGGAATAGTTGTAAGGTAAGTACTAAAGCCCACTCACTAGAGCAAACTTTAGACTAAACCTACTTCTAGTGTTTAACAGTGCTTTTTGTAAGAATCCTGAGGGACATAGTGCAGTATCATGTGCAAAAATACCATTTGTCCATATGGCTTATCCTGCTTCAGACAGCTCATTTTCCTTTCCCATTTGACATCTTGTTTGATGGTGCTCAGAAGAGAAGTTCTGGCCATGATAGCTTATGCACTTTTGAGTTGGCAGTATGTTTATCTTGCCTTTCCTCTCCCCTCCCACTTTGAAAGTAGGTTTCTGCAGCTAATGAAGTTCTAGTAAACAGCTGAAAAGAGATTAGTTCAGTGAAGAAATTCCATATTTTTGTGTGGATATTATGTGTTTTTTTTCTTGTTTGTTTTTATTTTCTTTTGTGTTGATACATGCAGGGAGTGTAGAAGCCTTTTTCGAGTTGGCCTGGAAGGTTTACAGCTTTGGTTTGTGCCTTCTTTTTCAGCATGCTTTTGGGAGGGAGCTTACAACACAGAGATAATCAGCATGCCAGTGCTGCGTACGTATAGAGGATTTCCCTTCTTTGTTGACAAAAAGTACAAAAATGAGAAACACCTCCTTAGATTTTTAGTTCTTCATTTCTTTTGGGGTCAATTCTTAATGCACATAGTAAGCACCCAAATTAGACTGCTAAATTAGCCAACTGAAGGCATTAGTTCTCTTTTTCTTTCTTTTCCTCCCTTTTCTCTTTGGTGAAAAAAACTACAATTGTTTTTTGGCCTTGGAAGTTTGCTAGGGGCTTCTCTCTGCAATCTGCCAGCATTAAAGGCATCCACCTAAAAGACAGCTGAATTGCCTCCTTCATTTTTCCAGCTGCTGCTTTTTCTTTGCTTTCTTCTCCTTGGGAGRAGAGTAGGATGACTCCTGTATACACTCCAGATATTCAGTCAGTCTGAAGTAATTCAGTACAACTGCATGTGTCACTTTACAGAAGCTGGCAGCCACTATTGTGAGTAAACCTACCTATTTTTCCCTCCCCCCCCCATGCTCTTTGTTATCTGCTTTTGCAGCAAAATCTCTTGAGGTTAAGCCACAGATACTTTGGCCCTTAACTACTCAGTGTTTAACTTATCACAAAAGTGTTCTTGTCGGGCCCTGTCATAGGGCTACTTATTTTCTGTTCATACTAACTGAAAATAAGCAATCTCTCCTTCACTCTTCTCTAAGAATATCTTTTATACCTTTGCCCCTCTCTCCTCCAGTCAAGTGAATGTTGAAACAGAATTACAGATAAAGTTTTTTCTAGACTGTGGGACTTTCCTGTTGTAAATAAATGTGAGACATGTAGTGATTTGCATAATTGCCTTACAGCGTATTCTACGTACAGTGATGTAGTGCGCTGTAGTTCCTAATCTAGCTGCAGAGAAAGGACTTTTGGCTGTTGTGACTGCTGTGTTCTGGGACACCCTTTTGTACCCTTGGCTGTGCAGTCCCTGCAGTGCTGCCATGTGGAGTGGTACCTTGGGCAGAGTTGAGAGAGGCAAGGAAGCTGTGTGTATTCCCAGGTGTTGGTTAACACAGAAGCATTTCACTGCAATGTTTTAACCTTGGAAAACAGATCACTGGATAGTGCAAAAATTCTTAAACTCCATTTTGTCCTACCAGACGAAGCTTAAAGGATACTCAGCTGGGGTCAGTGCTTGTGGTTGCCTGTTGGAAAAATACTACAAGAATTAGATATTGTGTGCATCATTATGATTCAAAGTCAGTTATTCCTATTCCTCTTTAGTAAATGGAACTTTAGGGTCAACCAGTCTGGATGCCTTCATCATCAGGGAGTTGCCTTATTTCAAAGGGTTGTAAATATGTTATGGCCAAAGGTGTTTTTTTCTTCTTGCGAGCTTAATCTGTCATAAACGAGCAAATCAACATTTTGTAATAAATCACAGCAGGAAATGAGAGTATATTCGAATGTCATTGGCTACAGATTACATTACCTCAAATTTTGAGTACTCAGATTCTCACTTTGAATCTAGCCTGTACTTTTGTGGTTTAAGGGCTTAACACAGTTCATATTTAGGCTTTATTCTGTCCTAACCAGAAAAAAATTCACTGATATCTGCTGATTAATTTTTATTTAAAGGCAAAATGATAGAATAAACAGTAATTCTCTAGAATAGGTAGCTTCAATTAAACTCTTAAGTTGTTCTTGTTACAAGATTTTTATTTTATTCTTTAAAGGGCATTTTTTCCTTCAAGAGGAGGTTAAGCATCATTCACATTACACCCAGTCCAGTAACTGGTCCTATGCTGTTAACATGTGCATAGTTAGACTGATCATAAGATTTTTAAGTGCTAGTTACTCCTGTGATTCTCTGTGATGGTTCTTTGTTCTAGGATAGCATGCAAGACTTCTAAGAATGCAATAATTCCTGTTATTACTTGAAAACAAGGAACGCTGTTGTCTGTAGAATTATAGAGAAAAGTGAATCTATATAATCTTTAAAAGAAAGGATGATTGCCTTGTATTGGAAAGGCAATATATTGAATTGCTGCATAGCAGTGGCTGGTCCTTTTATGTGCACATGTCTGTATGTAAGGTTTTATAAGCAGAACAGAAGATCCATTGTGGAAGTACTGGACCACCTCACAATAGCCATAATTGCTTATCAATCTTGAGTCCAGATTCTTTAAAGGACTAGTTAACCATGTAAAAATTATAGTGTCAGCACAGAACCTCTTTCAGATGTTTACCTCATTTATTTTTCTTTCTTTCTCCTTTTCTCTACCACCTTTCATCAGTGTTCAAATCAAATGAGACTGCAAAAAACACATTTTTTTTTTTTTGTTTGGTTGCAATCCCTACCACATCCTCTTCTTCTTAAGAACACTGCACTTCTCTTATTCCTGTCTCTCTTGTGATATGCAGCTTTATCTCTTCCGGCACCAACTTTTTTTAAAGATCTCATCAGTGTTCATGCAAACTGCTTTACTGCCACTATTGTGCTGAACCTTACTTCTGAGCCTAAAGCAGCTGCGAAAGCAAGAACAAAATTATATTTGTTTAGATTTCTGACAGTTTGGAGAAGAATTGGAGCTAGAAAGATTGACTTCAACTAGAAACTGTAAATAATGCCATGTTGTGTTGAATATTTCTGAGAAGCTGATTTTTTTCTAGTTCATGAAATACAATTTTCCAAAAAGCACATAAATTTTCCTACATTTGTTAATATAAAGTTTTAAGGAGGTCTTATGTTGAAGAACAAATGTAGTATTGCTCTGAATCTCGTGCCTTCCTGGTACTGAAGGTGTAGAAAGTTTGGAGAAAAATTATATTCATGAGTGTGTAGGGCTACTCTATGGCATATTTTGCTCTCTTTTGAATGATCTTTAGATATCAGGATTCAGTCTGAAATGACTCTGTCCTTTTCTTATCTTCACATCCATGTGTGCTCTCAGGGAACGTCATAACCTGATATTTCTTATCACTTGGTACAGGATGGAATTGGCTTCTCCAAAAGGCAGACCTGTTTGCCTGATATCTGTACCACTAGGGCTGATGATTTGCTTTTTGTGCCTAAGGATAGAATGAAAGATATGTTTTGTTCTCTCAGCTTGTTGGGCATGCAAACATTTCTTGTTGCTGTCTAAGGTGTTCTATAAATACAGTGTAGTTACAAGCCCTATATACTGCTTAATAGCAAAACAATCACCACAGCTTTCTTGAAAACAGCCCTGGATGATGAATGCTAGGATTGTGCAGTCATATCACTGTCTTGGGCTCTTCAGGCCTGCTGTTCTGCAAGTTTTCTGTGTTCCTGTTCCCTTAAAAATAGTTGTGATCGTGTATTTTTAAACAAGGAGATTCTGACACTTGACAATTTCAGTCTCTTCAGGGAAATAAGTCGGCCCCTGGAAATTCTATGTCATATCTGAAGAAATAGATGCAAACTGTGGAAATAAACTGGAGTCTGTAATGATGCATGGTTTGGAGCTATGACTAATAAGCAAGTGTACTTAATGTTAGCTGGATAGTTCATCAGTTCTGTGGACGTTAATATGTCAAATATGTTTTAAAATTTGTTTAGTGTATTCAAATGCTTAAAGAACTATTTTTTTCCTCCATTAAAAAGGGAGAGGTACAAAGGAAATCTAAAAAGTGATATAGCCAAAATCCTCTGGAAGAGCAGGAATTTGTTAAATTTGTGAAGGGATCTGTTATACAGAACTTTGCAAGAATATTCACAGATACTACATTTCAGGCCCTTGTATAAACAAGGTCTGACAATTACTGGAAGCATATATTACTTGCATAGAGTTATTGCAGCAGGGCCTGGTGTCTTCTCTTGCATATTTTTATTTTGAATGTGTTTTATAAATGTGAGAATTTGACTAGCTCCTCTAAAGATGAGTGGAGAGCTGTAATGTTGAGGTTGATTATATTTCATTGTCTGTGTCTTGTTTTCTTTCAGATGGAGCTGCCTGGCCTTGCTTGTGCTGTTTGGATGTTTATTTCCCTTTATGGACCTCTGTATGGTTATCCAAATGGAAAAGTAAGAGCAGTATGTGGGAGCATGATGCCCCATCACGGTAGTTCTCCACGATCATCACCTGAGCACGTTATTACAGCAAATGGGACTGAATTTAAACCAGGGGACAAAATCGAAGGTACGATGTCCATTATAACTGAAGGGATTGATTTGCTTTTCTTTATCTGTTGTAGTACATGATATATGTGTATTTAATCAGCTACCTAAGCAGTTGGATCTTGTTCAGATGATTCCTGTAGCAGCCATTCAGTATTTGTAAAATGATGTTTCAGTGGTCAGTCTTAATCTTTCATTCCTCCTCTGGAGAGTATTTATACTTCCTTTTGTTTTCCTTCTTGATTCAGTTAATCTGTCTGGACCAGATTTTGAAGGATTTTTCATACAAGCTCGAAATGCAGAAAACTGGGATAGTCCTGCAGTTGGCTCTTTTATATTAGCTGACCAGAAACTTTCTCAACTTCTTACATGTGGCCATACAAAGGTACAGTATAGAGTCTTAAATCGGGCACTAAGGAGTTTGTAGAAGACTGCATCTAGAGAGAGGCAGAGCTAGGCTGTATAATCTTCACAGAATGGTTAAGGTTGGAAGGGACCTCTAGAGATCACCTAGTCCAACCCCCTCCCTGCACATACAGAGACTCCTAGAGCTTGTGGCACAGGGTGGCATAATAATCTCCTTTGAGCTCAATAAGTATCCCAAGGAGTTGGTATGAGTTGCAATACAGAGGCATGGCTCACTGCAGTTAGAGGACTGTAATATCTTCAGGGCTTATGCCTGGTATTATAAAGAGGAGGACGTACTCCCTGTACTTGATATAGAAGGATTATCAGTCCTTTTCCACACTTGCTGGAAAGTTTCATCCAAGTTATGACTACCTGAGGGAAAATTGGTCAGCTTTATGTTAGTTGGACTAGGTCTGTGTGGTGTACCAGTGCAATATTTCTTCAGGATTTACCTCCAGCCTGTTTGATGACTATCAGCTGAAATCTCATTAGTGTTTCCACTCTGTAATTCTTGATGTATGTATGATTTCAGAACTCGGCAGTCAGTCACACAAGTAAAGCAAAAAAGAAATTTGTGAAAGTCTACTGGGTTGCTCCTGTAGATGCACCAAAACATGTACAGTTCCTGTAAGTAAATTCAGTATTACTTAAAATTTATTAAAAAAAAAAAACCAGGACAAACCTGTAGTGTTATGTCTGCTGCAGATAAGGGTCAAAAATTGAGATGTGTCTTAGGCTTTTGGCATGAAGAGTTGACGTCTTTTGCTTGCTTCAAATTGAATTAGTGTAGGTCGTTCTTGCAGAGAACTTAGAGGTGATCATTTTGTGCTGGTCATTCTCAAATGTAAAGTTCATAGCTCTTTTTTCTCATGAGGCTGTAATATGAGCCACAGTAATAAATCAGTTTGTTATATCCAGAAGCTCAGATAGTGGGATGTTTAAAGCTACTTTTCCACAGAGGCTACAGGTATTTTCCTACTTGAAATGGCAAAATTGCACTGTGTTAACAGATATGCATCTGGTGTTTTTTTTCTTTAACAAAAACAGACAAATATGCTGTACAAACAAAGCTTTGTCCTATCCTTCCTCTTTCTTCTCCCCCACCCTATTTATTTATTTATTTGTTTGTTTATTTAAAGAGCCACAGTTGTGAAGAAATACAAGACTTTCTGGGTAAAGATTCCTGGTACTATTGTTTCTCAGCCTAATGCGCCATCCCCAACAACACCTTTTCATAAAACGTCAGAGCCTGTATCTACTTCACATCCAATTTCCTACTTAACAAACCCAGTGAGTAATTATAAAGCCAAATAATTTTGTCTTTAGTGCTTGCAGTCAATGGAATTTAATTAAAGCCCACTGATACAATACAGGATTTTGTCTCTGTCTCTGGGGTGGCAGAAAGTGAAAGACGATGGATGCATAATTTATGTATCAGAAATTCAGTGTATAGACAGACCTACTTTCTGTTACTTCAGTGTGCAAATTTGTGCAAGTTAAACACTGTCAGTTCTCACCAGAATAGTCTCAATTTATCAACCCTTAAATCGTTAGCTAAAGTTAGGCATATCTTGGAATAGATATGTGAAGTGTTGTAGTCATGTATCCTATTTATTCTTGTTTAGTAACTACAGCCTCAGAAATTTCTTTGTATGCATTCATCTATGTCACTGAATTTCAAATTTTTAATTCAGTTTTAGAGGATTCATCAAGCATTATTATTTGATGTCGCAGCATGACTTTAATCTGCATCTCTTTATTATGGTTTCTTTAAAGTGAAAATTCAGCTTAAATTACAGTGTAAAATTCATGACTGTTTCATTTGCTACTCCTGGGATAGTTGTGGAAATGACTTAAGAGATGGGTATGTGGAGGCAAATAGGGATTTTTTTGCTTATATACTTTCTTCTAGGACAGGGTGGGAAGGAAGAGGAAAGTGTGTGTGTGTGTGTGTGTGTGTTGTGGTGGTTTGTTTTTATCTAATTTATTGCTTATTTGCTTAATTGTCTAGTTCAATGCATCAGGTTGTGGAAATACAAAGTTCTGCATTAGGAACCCATCTGGCTGTGATCCTGAAAGTGCTTCCTGTTTTTTTCTGTCCTTCCGACAAGAGAAGAGTTCAGTACTCATTGAAATGAGTGGTCCCAGTGAGGGATATTTAGCCTTTGCATTGTCCCATGACCAGTGGATGGTGAGTGTCCCATTCTCCTTCTGTAGTTAATTTTGTGATTTTGTGAAATTTGAATGGTATTCCATCAAAGCATCCATGTGGAAAAGCAAAATAGTGTGATGACATACAAAGTAGCTTCCCCTGTAGCACGGAAGAAAGTGCAAAAGGTCTTTTCTAAGTCTATACATCGCTTAAGCTCAGGACTGATTTTTATTTATTTGTTTATTTGTTGTGGTAGAATTCCGCTGTGGACATGTTTTGACAGAATCCTTCATAACATGAAGGTTGCAGACAGGCTTGCGGTTAGGTGAGCCTTTCTAAATTAGAGGAAATTTAGAAAAACCTATCCAGAAAAACCCTGCCTGGACTGTGCTTCAGAAGCTATGTTGCACTGAAAGCCATTGTATAGGAATTATTCCATATTTACTGCAGACTTTAAAACAAAATTTCAGAGATCCTTTTTTCTTTTTTTTTTTTCTAATTGGTTTTAAAGTGAAGGGACAATGCTGTTGACAAATGCATAAACTAAAGTAACAGCTGTGCAGAGGAAATGCTATCTATGTTCATGTCCCTGGTGTGAGCTTGTGTGACAATTGTTGCTTTTTTGTGCCTTTACAGCTCCAAGACACATACCTTTTTTAACTAAAAAGTAATTTTGGTTTGTTTTTATTTATAACTTTAACCTCTATCTCTCTCTTATTTCATTAATAGAATGACTAAATAAACTTCTGATAATGTTGAAGAGACTCTAGGGGAAGGAAAATTACAGTTTAGCTGTGTCATCTGCTTATGTTCTCTCTGTAATACAGATATGTTGGAGAGGTGGCAAATGATAGCTTAATAGGAGTGTTCTCTTAGGTGTTTTGTTAGATCATTGACCAGAACTGTGTTTGCTGTGTAGATTAAGATTAAAGTGCTTTTAGAGATCATCACTAGAGATTTGTACTGGGTTATAAATATATATTCATTTTTTTTAAAAAAATCCAGGGTGATGATGATGCATATCTATGTGTTAATGAGGACCACCATGTTAGCATAAGCACTGCCTACCTGAAGGAACGAAGTCCTCCTGTTTTGGATTCAGAGGTACATTTGAAAACAACTAAAGCTCTTTCATGATTGTAGATTTGAAGTGGCCAGTGGTATGTTGCTGCTTTGTGCCTTTATTTAACACTTACTGTAAATAATAAGATGAATTCAAAATTCTTTATGCTATAAATGGCTCTACTCTTTCTTCCTAAAAAATATTTCCTTTGGAAGTCTGTAAGTTCCATTTAAGAAATAGTCATATGGTGGAAAGTTTATGCTCCTGAGTAACTTTATGCATGTTATTACTGGTTATGCAGTAGTTTCCCTTTACTAGTGTTGAACATGGAATCTATATTGTGTTAAARATTGGAAATGGAGCAGGGATAGTTGTTGCGCAGGAAAATATTGCTCCAACCTTATGTGGTGAAGTCCAAATGCTGGCTGGAAAGGTGATAAAGAATTCTGTTTGCCTGTTTGAAGTTTTAAATGGTTGATGTCTGCTTTTTCACAGAGTGCCCTTGAAGATGTGTCATGGAGGCTTGCAGATGGTGTTTTTCAGTGTTCTTTCAGAAGGGATATTCATCTTACTGCTCAAAAAGGGAGGTTTAATCTGGATGCCAGTTACTACATCTTTCTGGCAGATGGGGAAGTTAGTGAAGGTAAACTTGCTTTGCATATGCTTGTGTTTCTTTGAGCTTCTTTGTATTTCTTTTTCTGTAATAAACAAGAGCTGCTCATGCTAAGGCCAAGTGTGGCTTACCTGAGAATTAGCATCTGAACTAAGAAGTCTAGTTTCAAGCCTGAGTGAAGTCATCTGTACTTCCTGTGTCTGAATCAAGAGTTTGCTTTTGGAGGTTGCAGTAAGCTTATTATATATGTGTTGTTTGCCTACTTGATGCTAGGAAGCTTTGCCTAGTTGAGAGAACTGATCATAACTTTCTAAAATGGAGAATCTTAGATGGATTTATTAAATGGAGATTTATAAATAAGACTTGTTTTAAAAGTACAGTGATGTTCATCAGCCGTAAATTAAACACTTGGTATCCCTGCTTAGGAGGACTAATACACAAACATCATCGTCAGCCTCTGATCACCAGTGGAACATACAATATCACAGGCCTCCCACATGATATTGGAGGCTCCCGCTCACCTCAACTTATCAAGGCTCATGGTAAGCAGAAACTTTTACTTTCTACTTCTAGTTCTACATTTTGACATCTGTCAAATTTGGACAGTTGTTTTCCTCCCTATGGCAGGATAGATATTTTCTCTGATCTTTCTGGCATATACATTAAATATTCTGTTAGTTAGCAAGATCTGAGACTGTAAGAATAAAGTTGTTAATCATCAGTTTTGCTTTTCAAGAACAGAGTTGTAAGATTCTCTTTGCCTAGGAAATTCAGCTTATGTTTGCCTTTCCTCCTAATTTGTTAATTGGGACTTGCTTCTGTTTGCCATTCTCTGGTTTTGTTTGTTTTGGTTATGTTATTGTAGCTTAATTGTATTTCTAATGAGAAATGCTTCAATAGATAGTCTGGAGCCATGGAAGGTAATGAAGGGATTTTTTCTTTTTTTTTTCCTTATGATTCTGTACTTTGAGCAAAGCCAATGAAAGAATTATCACTTGTTCTTTATCAGTGAGAGCCTGTCATAAATGTTGTTTTTCATCCTCTGACTTGTAAAGCTGCTAATGACTTCAACTCTTGTCTTATCTGTTGGTGGTGTTGCAGTGAATTAAATGTGCAATTTGCAGGGCTCCTCTGTCGCACTGTGTAGGTATTTCCTAATCCTCTCTTGTATAGGTATTTCTGCTGTCTGACTTGGTGAATGCTATGAAGTTGTAATTTGAACCAGGTGATAAAAACTTAACACGGGTAAATTCTGACCAAGTGCATACAACTTCAATGAGCATAGAATGATTAGATCTGTAGTCATGTACAGCTGAATTGTGTGTTTACTTTGATCATGTTCCCCTTGCCCCCTTCTGCTTGCAGGTGCTCTAATGTTTGTTGCCTGGATTACTACAGTTAGCATTGGTGTTATTGTTGCACGATTCTTCAAACCTATCTGGTCTCATTCATACCTGTTTGGAAAGGAAATGTGGTTTCAGGTGGGCAAAATCTCCCCCAGGTCTCTAGCTCTCTTGTAAACAGAATTAAAACCTACTAGAATCAAGAAATAGGAGATCAACCTAGTGTGTAATTATCTTGCCTTTGTCTTTTAAAACAAAGTAAGTAGGAATCAGAAATTTAGTTACTTTAGTATAGACAAAGTCTAAAGAGATAATTAGGATATTTTTCTTTACAAATCTATTGTATTGTAATACTCTATTGAGAAAACTCAAGAATTTCTAAAAAGAAACTTCGCTTTCTAGGTGCATCGTATGCTTATGTTGACCACAGTSATTCTTACAAGCATTTCTTTTGTTTTGCCTTTTGTATACCGAGGAGAATGGAGCAAAGTAAGTAGTGTTTTTTCTGACGTTTGAATTTGCATTCATTGAAGTAAGAGTAGTAGATCCATTGTTGGATTTAACATAAATTCAAGTGAGATTAGAACATGGAGGGTGAGAGTAGAGACCAGTACTTGCTGATTTTTAAGAAACAGGCCTTCCCTAAGAAGCAGGATTGAGGATGAAAAGTTTAGAGTAACAACTGCTGCAATCATATTGCTATTTGCTCTTCAACTGGTAGAACTTCTCCATATAGTGAAAAGGTGGAACAAAACGTGGGTGGGCTAATCAGCATCTTCAAGGAAAACTAACTGCATCCAGCTGCTGGATGGCTTATTGTGCCCTGTAGCTAATGCTAATATAAGTACAATCCTGTTGCAATATTATAAAATACAAACACAAGCTTAAATAAACTCTATTGTAAATTCTTTTGGATATTTTTCTGTGTCTTTATAGAGATACTTTATAGAGATACTAAGGAAATATGTCCTCTGTTTAGCAAGCAGGTTTTCATCCATACCTCGGCTGTACGGTGATGGCCCTGGCATTTTTTCAGCCTCTTATGGCAGGTTTCAGACCAGCTCCGCATGCACCAAGGTACTGCGAATTAGATGATTAAATTATAGCTTATTAAATCATAGGGACAAAATTTAACTACATTTTAGTGAAATTTTTCTTGTGTTATCTACTTTAAATGTACCTTTTCTTCATTTGACAATTTTATTTTTTTTACAGACTAATGGATGAAATGTTTTCCTTTTTTAATAGGAGACAATTGTTTAACTGGTTTCACTGGAGTACTGGTACAACAGCTAGAATACTAGCAGGTGAGTAGGAGTAATAGCTGTAAGTCCCCCTTTTTTTTTTTTTTTTGGAGACAAACTTGTCGATAGCCCTGGAGCAATATCCCCAGAGTCTTTTAAATCTTGTTTTTCCTCGCTAGTTGTGACTATGTTCTTGGGAATGGATCTACCAGCACTTGACCTCCCAGACCCATGGGACACCTATACAATGTTTGGTTTTGTAGCTTGGCATGTTGGGATTGATGTTCTTCTGGAAATACACAGCTACTGCCTCATACGTAAAGGTACAAATCTCCTGATAAATTGTTTGCTGAGGATTGCAAAATGCCAAAATATTACTTCAGTGGAATGAATTTTAAAATGTGCTTTCTGGCTTCTACCTTGAAAGCTGAGAGGGGTATCTCAAGTAATAACATAATGCTTCTGTACAAAGTGATTTTAAGACCAAAGCCTTACAGGAAGACTTTTTTATGCCACTTTAAACAGTGATCTTTTTATCACAGTATATAGGGATAAATTGAGCATGGTGGATTCTTGGAAAACACAAATAAATGTTACTTGTCATTATCTGATGCTGGCTGGCTTGATAGAGCAGAGGTTAATTTATGCAGATTTAACATGCATATTGTTGTTACAGATTGCTGATATGAATAACTTGTTGCATGAGTGAAATGCTGCAAAGAGATGACCAAGAAATTAAGCACAGTTGAAACTCTAATTGAAAAGGGAAAATAAGATGAAATCCTGGCTCCAGCATTGACAGTAAAGGATCAGAATTTCATTGGAAATTTGTAGCCTCGTCAAGAGGAGATCACTGTCCACATATTAAATGACCTGTATCTGGATATATGTGCAGAACTGGAGAAAAGTGATTAGTTAAGAGATTGTGCAAGGTGGCATGTGGAGAAGGAACAATTAGAAAAGATAGGAATTTAAATTGGGCTGCACTAATGCAATCCTAGAAATAGAGGAATTGATCTGAAATATTTGAACAATGATTATTYTTTGCTAATTGAAAGTATTTCTTCATGAAATGTCCTAATTGTAAAATTTAAAATGAAAGTTTTTAGATTAGGTAAATGCCTCGTTCAGCTCAAAATTCAGTGTTTTGATTATTTGCTCTAGTAAAAGAAAAGATAATGTTTTTCAGGTCAAATCAAAAGCATTAATCACTTTTGCTATGAATATAATAGGGATCATGACAGGCCAAATGAGATTCTTTCAAATGCTATTCAAAAGCTGATTTAAGATGGCTTTTTTTTGGCTAGGTACTGTTTAGAATTGAATTACTTCAATTCTAAATAATCAGGAGTTGTGCAATATTAATACTGACTTCTTAAGAGCAGAGCTAACTGTACTTTTTTCCACTAACAGTTGAAGTGATAGAGGATGACAGAATACAAATATTGCAGTCATTCACATCTGCAGAAGCAGAGGCAAGTCACCCTTTTGTAAATACTACTATGAGATTATATGATTATTTGTTTTAAAAAAATGTCACTTTGTGACTTTTTCCCTTTCTTTTGCAGGGTCATCTGTTTAAACAGATTGTGCTAACCATATATGTCTGTGGAAATATAGTGTTCCTCATTGCCTTCCTGGTAGCAATCAACCAAATATGAAATAAGTCCATCCAGGAAAGTCTTTGAGAGTTTTGCAAGGAAATATTGTTCCTCCCTGAAGATGCACTAGAAGAAAAATAGTGCATGTGCATCTTGCTCTTGCTCGTTAGGGAGAATTGCATTCAAATCTATAGAAGGATTCTGCAGTCCCGCCTAAGCTGTCTCCTGATGTGATTTTTAGTGTGAGTCTTTGCCTGAGTAGAAATGATGTCTATATTTTAAGTGCAGTAATTTAAGTGATCACTGTTAGGTAAGAAATTAAGAAAGCTGAGAAGATGTGCTGAAAACACTGTTTTAATAGTTACAATTCTCTAAACATTTGGGAATATTATTGAGAAAATTGAAAAGACTCATCCCAGATAATTTGTATCTGTTCACTTCACTTGCATTCTAATGGCATGTGACGTGGCAACTTGCTTGTGCCTTATTTAAAAAAAAAACTGTGACAATTTCAGATTGATGCATTAGATCAATATTGCTATGTATCTTTGCAATTAGATGCAAAAACTATTCTCTCTGCTCTGAGAGCAGTACAAATACAAGCAGATGGATTTGGGAACTTCAGTCCTTTATTAAAGCCACTATTTGCATCACTCATAAAACACTGCTCTTTCCCCCACAGTGCTTCTAAACCATAAAGAGCAAATATATCTGCAGTGCAAGTGCTGTATAAACTAGTTATGCTGATTAAAGAAGAAAATCAACCTCTCTCCCTACACTCCCCTGCAAAAAAACACAAAGAAACTATCCTTTCTGTCCACTTCTGGTTTCTGAATTAGTTTTTTGAATGAGTGTGATGGACTTAAGCCACTTGATGGCTACACAGAAGCAAGAGTGTTTGCTCAGTAAGGTTGCAGCTTGGCAGCTTTGCAGTTTGGCTGCATTGTTGAGTGAAACAGAGATTAGGAGTTAGTTTGACGTCAGGAAAAGTTTTGGCAGTGCGCAATGAGAGTCTTCTGAGCTGGCACATTTTGGAGACTTAATTGTCCCTATAAGAATGTGGGAGAGTGTTTTTAGTCACTAAGATTTATCTAAATAATATGAACTAGGTGCAGGGAATGGAAGGAGGTTATGTTCTCTTATTTGCTTAATTAAGGAAGCTTTTTACAGAGAATCTCAGAGGTGTACCGTAATAGGCAGTGCAGTACAGGACTTTGCAGGCAAAGATGAACACGTAGGTGTTCTTGCAGCCCTAAACAGTTTACTTCCATATTTCCATGCCATTTTTGTTAATCTTGAAAGTGTGGCAGTCAAATAAAACTGTACTTTCTTAATTGATTCAGCTGTAGCACCTTGTAGTTTCAGCCAGGGACTAGTGAGCAAACTGGAAAAAAAGAGGTGCTGAGTGAGTTGAATAGGATTGTAGTGGAGTTGGAGACTGGCTTGGCATGGACCTTTTCAGCAACATCCTTGTGCTTCCTGATGACCTGGTCTAAAATATGGACACATGAGGATCAAGTAGTGATTCTCTCTGTTTGATTGAGCTGTTTCTTCTGCACCTTTCTTCACCTCCCCGAATCCATAGTGCAGCTAGCTGCAGAAGCAGTTCTACAGCAAGCTCCAAGACAATGTTCCTAGTTCTCTATCTTCTTTTTGGCCGCTCCAGGAGCCTGTGAGAACATGTGCAGAGCTGTGATTAATCCCATTGTAAGTGGCAGCTATAGGCCATGAGTGGGTCTGAATTGAATAGTCCCTCTTTCCTCTGAGCTGGAAAAATCATTTATATAGAGAGAAGTTGAGACTATGAAGAGCTATGGCAAGACCTATGCTGAAAGGCAAGAAGTATGTGGTTGGTCGTATGGGGTTTTGTTGGTGGGTGCTTTTCTTTTCCTCGTGGTGGTTTCTTTCTTTTTTTTTTTTTTTTTTAAAGCAAGATTTTGGAGGAGTGTTTTGTATATAATGGGTTTATAAAAGAAAACCTTTGAATTCTGGATGTGATTGGTGGCTTTTTAAATTAATGTCAATGCCATATTCTTTCTGTAATTTGGTTGTGTTGTGCTGTATTGTTCTTCTGCAACAATAAATTTATTAATTGTTAAGAGGTTTTAAAACATGAATGAAAATACCTGAACTGAAGCTTTTTTTTGGCTCTTAATTGGATGAAAGCTGTCATGTAGAGACTAGAAGAATAGCCTTGCGTGGCAGCAAATAGAGATTGTCTGTGCACTTGGTAAATGCTTACTTTCTAAATTAAAGCTATCTAGATGTTTCCTGGAAAAACTGTTATCACAATAGTTATGCTCCCCTGTGCAGTTGTTTTTTGYCAAGAGGGAAAGATACTTGCTTCAAATTTAATACCAATTATAGAGATGAAAAGTTGTTAGTTGCTCTCTTTGTTTTTCTTTCGTAGTACTAGCTGGATTGTATAGTTTATGAAGCCTCATGCAGTGTTTTGCCATATCTGATTGGAAACTAGATGAAGTTTGATATATACATGAAGGTTTTTCTCTCCTGGGTGATGAGTAAGAGGGAGCAGTGTGTGATTATCTTCTAGGGACTCTCCCCACATTCATTGTTTCTTCTTAAAAACAAGCTCAATGAAAAATACCCGGGGATATGTTTTGGTATCAGCAGGAAAAGGATGCCAGGCAATTTGGATCTGGATCTGTGTGGCTGCTGTACCCTTACTTCCTCACCTCACTGACTGGTAACTTCAGATACTGTTCAGGAGAAAATATGTGTTGCTTGACTTGATAAAAAAGAATCCTTCTGAAGTCTTCTCTGGGGAAGACAGAAGATTTTGGTGTTGATTTTGGTGTTCTACTGTTGTGGTAAGCTTGTGATGATGAGTCAATGTTAACCTATCTCTTGTGTTCTTTAGACAAACAAACCCTTTCAGTAAAGCAGAAATTTGTTCATAATTAGTGTCACCACAAGAAGTGCACAAACACAAATTGTATTTTGAGTGGTTATGCGCAGCCTCAGAATATTGCTTATTTGTCTTTGTCTTATGCAGAAATTCTGTTTTTGCCATGTGTTTCAGATGAAAGTGATGCAAATAACTTGTGCAATTTAATTGACTTTTGCCTTTGGTTAAGGCAAAGTAACTTTTTTGGTAGCAGATGTAAATACTGTTTAATGAACTAAAAAGAAGTGGGCCTTTATCTCTTCCCCACACTGAACAGTCATAATTTCCTCTGTTGCTTGTCGCAAACAAAAAACAGATGGGGGGAAAAAAAAACCAAACAGATAGAGACTTCTATATATTCAGGGTAGTGCTGCCACTTTATTTCCTTTTCCCAGGTTTTAAGGCTAGGGTTGGCTTACTTACCTTTGATTTTCTATTACAAATCGTAACACTATGCGGCGCTCTTGTTCAAATAACAGCTTTTTCTGGTTTTTAATTTTTCACTGTGAAATTGAGAAGTGTAAAGGTTGTCCAGAAGAGGAAGAAGTGTTTGTAAATTAACGATAAATATTCTCAAGCTTGATTAAATACTGGATCTTTAAATTCAAGATAGTTTATTTAAAGAGACATAAGGAAATGAGTACTTACTTGAAGTCTCTTAAACTTTTGTTTGAATGATTATGGCTTGTTTTCTTTTGTCATTTATGTGAACCGAGCTCCACACAAATGTACATCCTCTTCCATGCAACTTTCTTGATGATCTAGCCATTTTATTCTTTTGATAATCTTCAACTGCCTTCTCTATTTCTCTTTTTAGGGATGGGGTGACCAAATTATTCAGGATGTGAATACACAGTGCCATGCTATAGTCATGTTTAGGTTTGTTTTTCCCTTCCTTTCCTAATGTGTTCCCAAATTCTCTTTGCTTTTRTGGCTCATCATTTTAGATATTTCTAGAAGACGCTCTAAAATAGAGCCTTTCCCTCCCTCCTTCCTGCTGAGAGGTTGGTAGTATCTGCCTAACTGTGCTCCTTCTGCTGTGTATGTCCTATGTGCTGTAAGGATGCAAGTTCTTCTGATTTGCTATGTTAGTTTTCATGTATCAGTGAATTTCCCCTGCCAGTTTAGTACATAATCATTCTCTTCTTGCTGTTCATCTTGTTTTAACCTGCTTTGAATACTACTGTTTGCCCCTTTTTTTCCAGATCATGTAAGGTTGACTAACAGGATAGATCTGCCTGTGTTAAGAAGGACATTCAAACAAAGAGAGGAAAAAAGGGTAGGGGTTGAAGGTAACTCATGGATTTCCAAACTGTCTAATTCTAACAGGATAAGGCCAAAGCAAAACACAAAGCAGAAGAAAAAATGGCAACAACAAAAAAAGACAAAAGCTGAAAAAAAAAACCCCCACGTCTTAAATAAACTGAAACAGAGGAGAGACATGGAGAAAGTATAATATAGTTGCATTTATTCTTATCTGTTATTCCACTCTCCAGGCAATCATCCAACTGAAATTCTAAAACCTGAGTGTTTTTTTTTTTTTTTTTCTCCCTGATTCACTGTCCCATTTCAGCTTGGGAGTCATCAGCTCTTTACAGGCCGCAACTCAGCAGGTTCCTACCATCACAGCTCTGTAAGGTAGTAGCTTCAGATTCTTGCTTTGAAATGAGGAAGACCAGCAAAAAACAGAAGTTACAGCTGACTTTTTGCTAGTGTATAATGAGTCAGCTCTTCTGGAGTAAAGCAAGCTGAGCTCTATCTATTTAACAATTCACAACAGCCAAGAATCTAGCAAAATGACATTATCACCCTCAATGTAGGGATGTAGTGGTGTGAGGCATTTCCTCCTCCCAAGAACTAGAGCCTAGAATAAGGTGACTTGTGTGGTGTCACCTTGTGTGGTGGCCGCATCAAGCGCAGCGATACCTCCTGGCTGCGCAAAGGGCCCCGGCTGCTGCCTGGTGTCATAAGTTGACCTCTTCCTTGGTGGCAGCCTTGAGACTTTGCTGGAGAGCTGTGTGGTAGCAGCTGGTGGCAGATCTTTTGCAGGGTCGGGTATAGGCAGCTCAGTAGCTCTGCTGTGAGGCTTAGACTATTGTTGGATCCTCTGGCCACCCAAAATGTATGTGCTAAGTAGTATTTTCTAGTGATGGGTAAGAGCATGCCTGCTTGGCAACCAGTTTCTGGGAAAGTGGGGCATTTTCCCACTTTCCCAGAAAGGAGGTAGAGAGAAAGCAGGTGAAGCCCTGGGTGGGAGCATCTGTAAGGCTTTGGGAGGAAGCAGAGCCCTGAGGTGGTGGAGAGTGAGAAGGTCTTAGAATGGCTGCATTTTCATGCATGAAATAGGAGGATGGTTGGACTGTGGTACTGTAGAAGCATTCTAAATACTTAAAAGTAGACTTTCCTAATTTTAGTTTCTGTTACTTAAAAAGGAATGCTTTAAATTTTGTCTAAGGTGGTATGCTTGGAAACCTGCTTGGAACACTTCTTGTTCCTGTCTTACATGTCTAATTTCTCATTAACTGATGTTTTTATTRGAAAAAATGTTGGATGACATTTTTTACTGAAATTTAGATTGGTACACTTGAAAGTGAAAGAATGTCCTGGGAATTAATGTCCTGGGAATTTCCTGGAGCTGTGTGTTTCTGCTTTGTGTGTACAGTAACACCATATTTCTCACTGTGGGGGCAGGTATGCGCATAGTTTCATATTTGCATATACTGCATTTATAGTCTTGGGTGGCTTCCCGTTACCTTCAGCAAAATCCAGGATTTGATTTGCGTATTATGTGGCAGTTGGTCAGATCTAAAGGTCTGTTAATGTTCASTGGTTTATGCAAAGGCAAAATAACGCAGATGCATAAAGTGAAAGAGCTAAAAGAGCATTAGAGTTCAGAAAAAGTATTTTGAAGAAACTCTTCTTATATTTATTCTGCTTTGAGTAATAAACTTTACTTCCATGTCATTATAGCTGTTAAATCACCTTTTTCCCCAGCTTTGCCATTCTTATCCTCAGAGCTGCAAAAAGAAAACAAACAAAAAAGCCGCTAAGTTTTATGACTAACTTTCTGGTGCTAGATCTCCTTATTTAGAATAATAAAGAATACACATACCTCCAGTGGTTAATCCAGCAGAATAAGCATTGATTTAGTGTTACAGAAAGAAATCAGTAGAAGGCATTAGTTCTGGTAACTTTACAGTACAGCAATATGTTAAGAATTTATTCCATTATCACTATGAGAAAATTAGCACAGCGTTTTTCTGCTTTTTTTTTTTTTTTGGTTTTATGTTACCTTCACTAATGCATAACAGACAGATGGTTCTGTCCTTGACTGGATGCTGACAGATTAAAAGGATGCACAAATAAACAAAACTCTTAATTTAAACCAAGTTTTTAAATGAGAGCTCTAACTGCTAGAAGCCTTTTTCTTTTGTGCTAACATCTGCAGAAARAAATTCCCTTAGAGCAGTCACTTGTATTCCTGATTTGAGTTTGACAGAATAACTTAGCAAGTGTAAACATTAATATGACTGTGGTCTGTAACTGTAAGGTAGGTTAGTTTAAAAATGATGGTGCAGGCAGATAATTAAAGACTGAGGTTACTTCCACAACAGCAACAGAGCACTATTGTTCAATATATGTTTTATGTTTTGAATACTGAAATGAAGTTGCAAATCATGGAAACGTTTGTGTGTAACCTTGTATCGTAGGACTGCTGGTGTAAACCATCGCTGCTACAAAGACTCTGTGTACTCCTTGCAAAACACGGAATTTTGAGGGATTAGGATCCTGCCTTGGTTTCAGAGGAGACTATGTCAAATGTTTGGTGAAAAAACACATCACTGGACTATTGGCTATGGACTATTGCTCTCTGCATTGCAGAAACAGTGTGGCAGGGAACGCTTTCTCTATATTAGAGTTTTGCTGCATGTCACTTTGTTCRGCACAAACGGAGCTTAGGCTATTGTGTTTTCCAAGGCTGCAGTACTTGAAGTTGTAAGGAAGATATTAGCTCATCCAGACTAGCTACCTGCCAACAGCCTTGGACTTTCACTTTTCCCAAGAGAGACTGTTCAATACTGTCAGGAAGCTTTCCTGCCTATTCAGCTTTGGTTTTCCTTTCTTCATTCATCCCACTAATATGCCTCTGTTCCACCCCAAGTACTTTCCTCGGAGTACTGAACTCTTCAGAACACTTGCAGACTAATTCATCTGACTCAAACTTAAAAAAAAAAAAATAAACTCTAATAATGCGTGGACTGCTGTCCTGATTATAGCATAGTAATGCTCTTCTCTGTATGTAATTTCTGAAGGCACATGCACCTTGAGGTCTTGATTCCCCCACCAAACTTATAGGGAAAGGAAAATTGCTCTTATACAGAAATACTTAATTTGTGCAATTCTGTTGATTTCTGCATATAGACTGGCACTTGGAGCATTTTCTCTGCCCCTTACTTGTGCTTGACCTTCATTAACTTCTACAATAATTTTCTCTGAAGGTTCACTACTTTTTCCAAAACAAGATATAGAGACCTCCTCCCTGATAAAGTCCTGTGCTTTCTTGCTTCCCGTTCTCTTTCAGAGAGCCCTTGGTGCTTATTCTTTCCCTTTCAAATGCTGCAATTGCCTCCAAAAGCTCCATTTCTAAGAGGACTATTTTTCTATTGTATTGCTGATTTCTGTTGTATTGCTTTTTGATTTTAATAATGAATTATGAGGTACCAAGGATCATAATCTCACTCTTCTCTTTCCATTGGCATAGAGTGAACCTGCTGTGCAGAAGATGKTTTTTTTTCCTTAAAAAATAGGTTTTTGTCATGTATTGTTCTAGATAAGAAGCTTTCCTGATTTTGTTTCCTTTTTAGAAGTAGCAGTGAGATTACAAGACTGTGTGGAGATACTGAGTCATTTCCTGCCTTTCTCCARATCAAAATGTCCCAAGGATTGGTAATAAATAGGGTGGGGTGGGGAGGAGTGTGGCTTAGTTCCATGTTCAGCTGGGCACTTCAAGATGTTTGCTTGGAGGCTGCACTGAGCCCTGGGTTGTAGTTTTGGCCTCATTGAGACAATTGCCAAATCTCTATTGATTTAATTGGATCTAAGATTTTTTCCTAATTGGCCATTTTCTCATTGGTAGAGTTCTGTGTAGTTAAAGATTAAGRGCAAATACAAATTAATAGGGCACATTCTCAAATGCCTTTACTAGATTTATAATTCTTCCACTTCTCTGAAAGCCAACATTGCTCAGAGGTTGTCTGTTAGTTGGAGAGAAGGAAGAACTTTCAGAAGCTTTTTTTCAGGAGTCCAAAGAAAGCACAAATTGGTACTTGCTCAGCTAGTATCTCATGGTCTGCACGTGGCCATGAGAACAGGTCTGTAGGCTCACAGTCCCTCCTTGCAAGCTTCTTTCCAGGAGCTGTGTGGAAGCATGGACAGGACAGGCTGCAGGATGAATTGTTTTGGTACCAGCCAGCTTTTGCAGTGAAGAATCCTCTCATATGCATGTATCACATATKCATGTACATATGTGATAGGAGAATGGGGGGAGCATCCCCAAAACAAAGGGCTGGAGCAGCTGCTGCAAGGATTTATTTTGTTTGCGGTCAGCTGCTCTGCTCCTTGTTGCTGACAGGAAGCTGCTGGCAGCAGCCTTGGTCCTGGAGGCCACAGCAAAGTGCACAGATGGTAGAACTGGATCCTGAGGGAAGCCAAGGGCCTGAGGGGTGACAGAAAAGCTAAGTGACCTGATTGACCAGTAAGGCTGCACAGCACTGCTGGAGTGTTCCAGGCTGTGCTGTGCGTGACCGAATGAGGTGACTGATAATTGTAAATGGCGAGCATCTTTACAGAATACTACTGAGCARCTCTTCCCAATTTGTGTGCTGTTGCAAAAATGCTTGCAATTCCTTATGGGATCCAATGATCACTGTCTTTTGGATACCCTTGTATTGTAAATAAATGATAGATTGCCCACGTAGCTTTAGTCAGGGCCAAAACTTGGACTCTCTTTTTTCTGCCAAGCTCTCACAGGTAATGCAATGTAATCTGGGAGATGGAGAAGCAGAGGATGTGGATCAGATGTGCTATACTTCAAATGCAAAATGAAAGTGACTCCTATCTAAAACCTGCTGCTCTGTAAATATGCTTCAATGCCTTTTAACTACATGCATTGAAGTGCAACACAACTATAAAGAAAAGATTTGTGTTTCTGTAAGACCTTGCCCTTGTTTTTTCCAACCTTTTGTTATAAAACTTTGTAGTAAGAAATAGACATTTTTTAATATTAAAAGACTAGAAGGAAATATTAAGAAATAAAAATAGATTATATTGACTAACGAAACCTAGGRAGGAAAGCTGTTTTGTCATCATTCAGAAATTATATTAAAAAAAAAGTTTAAATCAGGTTAACAAAACTTTTAAAATGTGCATGAACATTATCAAGGCAAAGTAGGCAACACTGGTTCCAGAAGAATGCAATGTAAAGCTGCTTATTTTTCTGATTTAAGGCGCAATTTGGATTATTAGGAAGTAGCTAGAATATAGATAGGTATGAATAAAYTTAATAAGGAGACAGTGTTAAGATGCAATGTTGTTAACTACCTAGTAGTAAATTAAAACTATCCTCCTCAGTGAGGTAGCATGAATGGAACACTTAATTGTCATTTTAAAGACAGCCACTGTTTTAATCCTTGAAGATTACTGAAATGGATTTTCTGAAATAGTTTGAAAATTTTAGTATGGTACACTAGTACGGTGCTACAGATGAAATAATTCAATAGTAGCTAAGTGTAATTGGCATTTTCTAACAAACAAACAAAAAAGAAATGCTTAATAATTACATATTAGTCTGAAATAATYCAAAAATCAAGGAGAAACAGTTGCTGGGAAGTAGAGTACTGTTAGTTTGCTACATGAGTGAACAGCAGCGACACGATTTTCCTCCTGTGTTACCTGTTAATGAAGGGTCTTCAGTACCATCTCCAGGTCCCTGGCTGTGGAGGCGAGTGTGGTGTGTTGGAGAGCTTAAACGTTCCTCTTGTTCTCGTAGGGAGATGGAGTTTTTGTGAGGTGCCGTGTTCAARTTTGCACCCAGCCTGCTTGCAGGGACCGTCTGTGGGGCTTCAGTGGTTTTCTGCCTGTTGAGGGGTTGATAAACCTGACTATAGGGGCCTATGGGATGATATGATGGTTTCTCTGATTTGCTCTCATCYTCCTCATCATCATCAATCATGACTAGTTCTGCTCGGATAACCCCATCGTATCTTGACAACTTTTGGTCTGCTTCAGCATCTTCGTCAACACGCTGATAACCCATGAAAATCATTGTAACAGGTTCTGAATCATCCACATAACATGGTAAAGCTTGGACAATTCTGTACTGGACATCTTCCTCATCTTCTTGAGGTGCAGGGGACACTGCATTAAGATGACAGGAGTTTAAAGCTCTTGCCTCGTGATGCTTTTCTCTTGTATTCTGGTAAGGTTTTAATTCCTCATGTGCAGTGTTTCTTTTTTCATTACCTGCACTCCTGTTCTCACTGTTACTGTGTATTCTGTTCTCTTGTTGGGGAAGTACTGGAGAGGGGGATTTTGGTTGTGTTGCCCTTGAGAGATCAAGACCATTTTCTTTATGTGCCTTCATAGAGGGTTCTGCCTTACTGAAGAGCTCTGTCTGATGATTGCTCAGTCCATTCATATCTCTTTTTTGTTGGTCTTCTAGTTTTGGTCCAGAGACTAATTTATCTTTCTGAGGAGTTGTTGGCCTGCAAAACTTRTTTGCAAACACAGGCTCGTGGTACTCTGTGGGAGACTTGGAATTCTTTTCAGTTGCCTGCCTTAGAAGGTCCTCCACCTCAACTGGAGCAAGTTCATCCATGCCATTTTGTGTTGGGTTGCAATTGGAAGACACTGCGTAGACTGACTTCCTGCCATCATCGTAGACTTTAATTCCTGTCTCTTTAAACTCACTGGAAGGAAGAGGTATTGTTGATAATACTGTATTTTCTCCTGTTTTCATGTCTTTTTCCACTTTAATTTCCATGGCAAAGAGTGCTGTTGGAAGAAAGAGGTAATTAAAAACAGTTAGTGCATCAGACAAAAAAAAAAAAAAAAAAAAAAATCTGAAAGTTCAGGTGAGGAGAATTAATATTAAAACGAGTTATCATATATGTTGTATAGGATTTTCATTTTGAATCGTCTCTCCAAATTGTCAGAATTTCAGAAGGTGTGTGTGTGCAGGGGAAACCCAAATATTTTATTTAGAATCCATTTCTGCAAGAAAATCAGCCTTGATGAGCCAGTTTTCATTATGTGATTTTTTTTCAAAGGTCTAGAAATAAACTTGACATCAGGAGATATTCTGGGCAATAGCAGTTAAAAGGGCTCCATGTATTGCAAGCTTAGAGTTTTGGGCACTCGGGGTAGGAGACTTTGYATTAATTAGGAAATAACCTGACTAGATATTGTAGGCATAACTACTGATTAAAAATATGTGATACTTGATAAAGATAACTTCTTCAAGTAATGCTAGAGGTGAAGGAATGAAGTGCTGTAAGAAAGTGTTGGTGTTGAAAACACTGTCAATTATGTGTATGTTGCTTATACCAATATCCTACCTTTCAATTTTGCCAGCATTAATGATAAAAGCAGCTTAAGTGAGAATCACTTCATCTCATATCAGTAGCCTTTGTCTTAAATGCATATTAGATTCAGTGCTTAAGTAGCTTTTGTCAGTTATTTATACCTCTGGAGTTGGAAGTAAACAGTACCTTTTTTCTTCTCTTCATCATCTGTGGCAGCCTGTCCTGCCCTTTTTAGTGCAGAGGGTCTGAAAGACTTTGGAAGGTCAGGTATGTTGGCATATATGTAGTCTGCTGTCTCTGAATAAATAAGATTCACAGTGCCTTTAGTATGCATTTACTAACTTGTACAAGAAAGAAAACATAGTAGGATTTCAGCAAACATACCTTCTTCAACTCCTGCTTTTTCTGCTTTTACAGACTAGAAAAGAGAACCATATAACAATATAGATGGTTAGACAGTTTAAAGATAATTTGTAGACAGYGTTTTACTTTACCTGGTAGTAATAACATTTTGTGGACCTCACTTTATACAGAGGGATTCCTAGAGCAGAGACTTCTCAGAATATTTGGAACATGGCAAGCGAGAAAGGGAAATTTTCTCCTCTGTTTTGACAATACATCCTGCCTGTCCCTTTATGATCTAGAGTCATTAGAAAATGGGAATGATGCAGGCTGACGCTTTCGCCCAAGATGGTTGATTTCAAAGACTTTCAAAGTCTCTAATTTGGTTCCCCAGTTTTGTTTATCCCTCTGTTTATTTTTGAAGTGGATGCTTGTGTATGTACAAACAACTGCAGAACTGAAGCCGAGTTGCTTCATTATATTTTTCAAGAGAGCTTAAGATGATTCTCAAATGACAAAATGACATTTTGACAAAGGGTAATGACTAAAAGTACTCRGGGAGTCAAGAAAAGGCAGGATGCAGTTTAGTTGGACTGTTAATTTGAAGGAGTGCAAGTCAGTCAGGCTTTGCACTTATTACTTGTATCTGTCTCATGTTGAGATTCAAAGCTGCTGACTGGTGACAACAGTAGTGTTTTTTTTCATGATGTACTATGGAAGAGTAATGCTATGAACTACCCTCCCTCCTGCAAACAAGAATATGGAGACATTTGGGTACTTGAACAGTATAATTTATTGTCCCTTTTATTTAACTACTGTTGTTAGATAAAAGCTCTTGAACACTCACAGGATCCAGGTAGTTCCTCTTCTACTGTTCATTGCTAGTACTGAACACTGCAAGTGCTCACATCAATGTTAATATGAACAACAAGTGCATATTTCTGTGAAGTTTGGCACTAACCTTTATGATGTCTTCTGTTGTTTTCTCAACTGACTTAAGTTTCTTTAAAATAGCTTCTTCATTAGCTGAGATTTTCATTTCCTCTTTTTCCAGAGCCTCGATTTCCTTTTCCAGTCTGCAATCACAATTCCCTTGATGAAATACTGTGAACAGTATTGTAGACTCAATACACTTTGAATACAGACTTTAGCAAGAATGACTTCACTCACTCTGATAAATTTCATTTCAATAATTCCAATATGGAATTAGCATATGGCTTCAGATATCTCAAGAATAATTGTGAAATTGGAACTATGCTCAGTCTTATAAAATGTACCTGATGTACATGTTCTTCTCAAACTACTTTGAAAACAGAGACTGAAATTAAATTCATTTCAAGACGAAATGAAGAAGGACCATTGGTCCTTGCGGGATTTTCTCACCTTCACATGGATTTTTTTTCCTTATGCATTGTCTCAAGAAACAAGATTATCCCCATATAATTAWAATTCAGAAAACTAATCTAGTCAGATACCAGGGTTATGACTTGAATCACTTGGAGGAAAGCTCTGCTCCATGGATGATTACAGGGTGCAATTCCACAGTAAAGAAGAAAATACAGACGAAGACACAGAATAGTGTTCTCTATTCTCAGAATCAAATGGCAGKTTCTGAGAAATAAGAAATATTGTGCTGATGCATCAGGCTCTTGTTKGATGCAAATCACACACTTATATTTTGTAGAACTAAAATAGATAGCATTTCTTTGTTTTCATATTAAAAGTAGTTAATACAACTAGAAACTATAGTAGTTGCATGTTTTGTAGACTCTTAACTGATAACTGTAGGTATTGTGTGGTTTTTGTAAACCTGCATAGCAGAAGATGCTATAGACATTAGTCAGAAGTCTTGGGTTTTTTTGAGTGTATTTGTTTTGGACTGAGAACAAACACCTCAGATGATGGATGGACTTTGTGATGGCATCTTTTCAGCTCTCCTGTACAAAGGCAGTTTCCTACAGGGTTTTGCATCCCTGGATGTGGGTGTTTGGATTTTAAAATGCTTTGCTTTGGTAAAACATATGTCACAGAGMCTGACTGGCAGCCTGAAACTTGATCTTTGCAGGGGAGGGATAGTGATTGAAAAAAAAATCAAGATATTGAGATAGGGGTTTTTAGCACAGCATAACATATTTTTGATAGAATAGCCAAGAGATTATGTGGCTACAGACTYAAAACCACTACAGTGTTTTCAGGATTCCTCTTTGATGTTAAGTGTGCTAGGGTTTTTACAGACATTTTTCTACGTGGCCATTCTAGTTGCTAATCAACACTTTGTATGTTTGATTCTATGGGGGGAGGYAGGGGGGAAAATGCTGTAACCTTGTCTCTGAAAATGATCACTTTCAACAGAACAGCAGTGTTGCAAGACACGCAGGCTAAGTTCACCTAAGAAAAGCAGCTCAGGAGAATTAACATTTGTAGTACCTGCTCAAGTAATATCCTCACAAATATTACCCGAAAATTTGTAAGAGAAACTGGGTAGTTCAAATAGGCAGGATAAATGTTAGGTATTAATAACAACCACTTTCTAAGTCTATATTTGGGTGAGATTTCCTGCACCAAGAAGCAAGTTTTAAGGACCAGTTTATCATTAAAAAGTGACTCTATGCCTCGATTAACCAGTTATAACTTAATTTTATGGAGACTAAACATCTACATACTGTATTTGAATATTCTGTGAGAGCAAGATATTGTCTTGTCCTCAAACACTTTTGCTACTGGACTGTTTTCTCTAAAAACTTTTGTTATTTAATAAAAGGTAGATATGAATTGTGGTGGTGAGGGGGGACTATTGACTTATGCTGAAGGTTTGTACATTATTTAAATCATGTCATAATTCCCTTCCCCTTCCTGCCCTTTTTGTTGTATATTAAAGCTATGAAGTTGCATGTTAAATCAGAACAAAATGTTTATGGCTTTTTTTTCAAGTAAGTTTTATTTTCTTACAACTAGAATGTCTGAAATACTTCTTGCTGGAAAGGTTCAGTATGAAATATTTAATTCCAAATTTGTGAGAGAGGAGAAAGTCTTGTTCAGTTAAAGCACACCACTGAGGTGTGCTCTTCCTGAAATTCTTTTCTCAGATCTGAGTAAAACAGTGACTTTAAGCAGGTATCTTACATTCTATTTTTCCTCTTTCTAGTCAATGCTGTTACATCCTGCATACGTAAATAGCTACGTTTATAAGCAGAAACTTGTCCTATAGCCTAGAAATTAGCAGATGACTTCCCATGAAGGTCATCTGGAATCAAGTCTGAATTTAACTCTTAAAAAGTGAAAGTCTCATGCAGGAGGATGAATGCCATAGCTGCAGAGTCCTCATACATCTCTTTATCTGAACATTATAACTTAAAATATCAATTTTGARTTTTTTTCTAAGTCTGTTTCTGACAATGATAATTGTACAACTACTGTTATTGGTAGTAGTATTGGTACTGATACTGGTGGTAGTTGAGCAACACAGTTATTAGTGAACAATCTAGTGCAAAGTTATTTAAGTGATGGACCATACTCCTCATATGCTAGAAAAAAGATTAGTTCTGCCTTATTCTGAAAGCAGGCTAGAAGGGGAACATTATTTATCTTGGTCTGTGGCTGCTTGAAGAGCCTAAAYAGCACTGTGGCTGTTGCCCTGTTCAAGCTCACAAATGCATGAAGTGACATTAGTACCAAACTGATTGAATTTTTAAGCTGTTGGTGAGAATTTCTTCTTTTTTGAAACAGGATTTATCACAAGTCCTCAGAACTGAATTGTGAAGAAAAAGAGGATGAAAGGAAAAGCTTTTAAAAAGGAGAGAGAAGCGGGGGGGGCGGGGGGAAGACAGTTGACAAAACTGTCAACTTTGGCACAAAGTGGCCCCGTACTTTGCAAGATGCCCTTTGGACCCTACTCAAAGGTATTGATTATCTTTCTGCATGTAAGAGCTTATGATGAAGAGGATAAATATTTTTGGAGAGCTGAAAAAGAACTCAGTGTAATGACCATGTGCCCTATTTCTGCCCTTCTTTGAGAAATTCGTAAATATTTGCATTTAAAAAAAGTATTTTGGTATATTCCACAAGATTTGATTGCAGTATTATCGTAATACAAAAATTAATCATTAAAAGCTCATAGAAGTATAATGAGCTAAAGAATCATTAACTTGTACCAAGGGTTTATTTAAGTCCACAATCGAAACACACCTAGACATGTATTTGGAAAGAGGAGGACTCTGAAAAGGTGTATAAAAGCCAAATAATTCAAAGGGGAAAAACACTGGTTACATGGGACATCAAGAAATGCCTTAGTTTTATGCACACTCCCACACCCATACTGACACCCACTTCACATGGTAATTAAGGGGACTGATTCAGTCCTTGTGGTAAGGCAAAAATTCTCATATATAATTCAAAAAAAATCTGAGTCTTTTCTACTTGGTATAGTTGTAAAGATAGGCCAGAATATCCCTTCTTGATGTTAAAATGAAGTCTTCAGAATTTTATAAATACTCTGAATCAGTATTGTTGTTATGAAGTGCTAGAGCCTCCCCTTGTTTAGGAAGGGTCTAGCAGTTACACGAAAGTGGTGTGGTGTGTGTGTGTGTGTGTTTTTTTTTTTTTTTTTGTTTTTTTTTTTTTTTTTTTTTTTTTTTTTGACAGTGGTGCTGCAGTAGGTACTGTATTGAAACAGTCCTCTGGGTATTTGCCCTTCTGGTTTTGGGTAGCATTAACTGTTGAGAGGGAGCAGAAAGAAGTGTGGAGGTGGGGGTTAATGAACAAGCCTTAGAAGTTGAGATYAAAGTGGAGGTTGCCTTGCTGCAGTACTAGCTGAATTAGGAAATTCATCAGCGCATTTCTGTCTGCTGATGGCCACCGGCTGGGCTGCTGGGGTTGGCACTACTGCCATCCCTAGRAGAAAAATCAAGGGCGCTGAGGATGAAAAGCAGATCTAAGTCCCCTGGAGGACACCAGACTGAGAACAAGGCAGCCTAGCAAGTCCTCACATGTTTTRAGGTGAGTCAAATGCTTTGGCAGCTCTGGAGTCTATGTAGCCCGAGCCTGCTTTCATGTGTTACTGTACAAACTAGTTGAGCAGTCCTTAGCAACGTGATGTTTGTGCKTTTTTGAAGTGTGTTGTTTAGCAACTAATTCCGTCAGGAATGAGTGCTATTTGTTGTAAAACTAAATGATAAAATTATAGAATACCTCATTCTTCGTTCAGCTTGTACCGTGAACAAGAACATGCTGACTTGACTTGCTGTAACTTCTAACGTGTAAACAAGGTGAACAGAACTGTGGMTTCTGTGGATTCTATTCCTGTGTGTAGTCACTGAGCTACTTGCCTGCAAGGTGGTGCAGTCCACTCTTAACTCCTTTATTATTTACACAAAGGATGGAACTCTTTTTTTAATCTTAAACCTGCTTACCAGATCGTAAGCAAATAGCAGAGCCATATGAGCTCTACTGCACCCAAATAAGGTTTTTCAAAACCAAGATCCCATTTGGAAGAACAATGGAAAGGTCATGCCACTATTGTAGAAAAATATATCTACACCTCTAGGTGATTGTCCTCTAAACAGAGACTACTGTTTTAAGGGCACTGTAAAAACCTTTTAAATGCTCTATTAGATTTATTTTAAATAAAATTACATTCTGTCCACCCCAATGGACAGAATGTATTTGGTTATTCAACAGTAAAATTTAATGATTGAATGCACAATAGAAACAATTCTACTAAGCTTCTAAGCAATCTTACTGCAACTGCACAACAAGTGTGTACATGATCAATACGTCAGTCTTTCCTTGCAAGGTAGGTCACRGGTGTGACTGTGTAAGTGTAGCTTAGCAAGCTTTTGCTAGCCTGKATACTATCAGTAGCACAGCAGCAGTGCACAGTGTCTTTAAGGTCCTTTTGATTTTGTACTTTTTGTTAGATTTCCCTGTTCATGCTGAAGTCTACATTGCTTGGCTTCTCTGTACTGGCTAGTTTGAAATAATTGGGCTAGATGTGAATCTAGTGAAATGATCTAGTGGAACTTGCCAGGGCAAGGAACTTGACAGGCCAGCAAAGCTAGTGGAGCAGCACTGTTGGTAGCAAACAGTTGTGGAAGTGCTAAGTTCACCAYGAAAGAGTAAAATTAAAGAATGATGTAAAAAAATATAGAAGGAACCGTGGTATAGGTGGCAAGTGTGGTAAAATAGGCAGCCTTGCATTCTGAGGAAAGAATGATACTTTTTTAATAAGAGGATAGCAGTAGACATTGACAATCTTCCTGCAGTTCCTGCAGTTTTTCCACTGCAGTGCTTATTATGTTGCAAGAAAGTCATTTCTGATTTATGGTCTTAGTTGTCTATATAAAGAAATAAYGTTGTTTGTGCTTTTAGGTAATAGAAGCGGGAACTTTGTAGGAACAAATGAATTTGTGCCTACTACCTAATTTCTCCTAAATGCAGGCATATAGGTAGAAACTAGTTTAAAACCAAAATAAAACTATTTCTGCATCAGATGTACATGGGAAAAGAATTTCAAATTTGAATTCTGCCGAAGACTGAATGTTAATCATGTCTTGCACAAATTCTAGTGGGAACAGACGTTTCTATAGCTGAACTGGCACAGACTTGGGGTACATTAAATGTAGTTTGGCAACCTCAGCCTTATCTGGTATAATGTGTGTGATTTTCTTCATGAGTTGCATTACTATATGTGTAGCTTTTCCTGTCATAGAGTTGCTGCATGTAGTGCTTCTAATTGTTACAAAATAGAGAAAAAAAGTTCATATGGCTGTATTTGGAGAATTAAAATTTTCTGTRTGTGCTCAATTTGGTGTCTCAGGAAAATAGAAATTAAAGGCCACAGAAGTGAGGAAAAAGGTAGGACAATTACAAGAGTAATATCAAAAGACCATCATTATAAACCCAAGATTCTGTGGGACAGTATTACCTCTGTGACTTAACCACCCTATTATAACCATCAGGAGGTCACTATTAACCTGTGTATTAGTGTGGGGGCATTTCCAAAGAGAACATCGAAACTATAAAGATTTGCTGAGATCTCTGAACTAGTACTGTAGGAATATTTTTAAGCTGTATATTCCAAAATCTTGCCAGTGATAGGAGCGAAGGGACTCRCTGCCAGCGTTGCTGTGAGACAGCTCAATTACAATGAGTCAAGCACAGAGTGCCCTTAAGGTGCATTATCAGATTGGATTTTGATGCTGGAGATGCAGAATCTTTTCTGCTAAGCTATTTCAGTGCTTCCAAAGCAGTTAATCTGTCAGGATTTTAATAGCTTCTTTTAGTGACAAAAGCATTTGCAAACTTGAAAACTGTAAGAGCATTGTCTGTTCCTTACTAGGGAATTGCTGAATGTCCTAAACAGTAGAGATATCAATTATGTCAGGAGGATATCATCCCTCCCCCAACACATCCACACACCAAATCTAGGTCTTAACTTGATTCTGAGGTTCTTAATACATTGTTTTTTTGTGATTTTTTTATTTTTTAAGATTTCCCATCAACAAATTTCATAAGGAATTTAGCTAAACCTCTAGATCTTATTCAAAATTCAATGTGTCTTTGAAAATGTAGGCTGTCCTTAGCTCAGAAGAGTTGAAATTCCTGTGGGCTTGTAGACTATCTAGTCTGTACAACTTAAGACTTGCTCCTGATCCAGTCCTCCTGCACTTCGGATGTTTTTCTTGGTGAGATCCCTGTCACAAGGATCCCTCTTGTATGTCTTCATAATCACAAGCTGATGAGATGTTTTTTTAGAGCACACTGTCTACCTCCTACCACTGCAGCAAAGGAATCCACAGAGGTGCCTGAAAAACTGTGCTGCTGAGAAAAGGGCTTCAAGCAAGAAGTCAACATAATTATAGGACAAGGTAGTACTGGGTTGCTGCCTGCCAGCCGAGAGAGTTCTTGCTTGTCTTGGAGAAGTGGAGTAAGGAGGTAAGTGAGAGGGCAATAACTGGAAGAGATAATATTGGTGGAAACTATCGAAATACAATGTGGAGGAGGACAGTGGAGGAAGAGGGGACTATTGAGGAAGCTGCTATTGAAAATGAGAGAAAAACATCAAAAAAAGGATGATGAAACTTACGTGAATCTAAGGAAACAGGAGCATTTCAGCTTTGTTGTGGATGCTAATGTGACACCAAYCTGCCTGGACTAAGAGAAGGAGCTGAAAGTGCACAGAAGCCAAGAGTACTCAAAAAGGCAAACTGTGGTAATAAGCACCTAGAAATATGTCTATATTTAATAAAAATAAAAGCCATAGGCAGGCTGCCTACGCAGTTCAAGGTTACTTCTGTGTGGTAGAGAGCCACAAGCCATTGATCWTTGAAGAAATGCCTTTTTGAAAAAAGATTCTAGATTGCTTTACTCTGTGTATGATCTTGCATATGTTGAACCCTTGATGACATTTTGGCCACTTAAAAAGCAGGGTGAGAGTTTTAGAAAATACCATTCTAACCCAGACAGAGGCAGAGGGTACTACCCTCAGGTACTACCTGAGAATGTCTTGTTCCAGCTCATGAGTCCGTTGTTGGTCATCCTGGTTCTGCTTTTGCATTTCTTCTTGCTCTTTTGGGGTGAGGGAACTCAGGCCATCCAAGAGCCATTTTTCCCGCAAGGCCTTTTTCTGATGGAAAGATATAGACAAGTGTACTTTAGAAGTTAGGCAAGTCAGCACGTTTTTCGTCTTTGAATGTGTATGCATGAAGTTAAAGAAGTTAAAGAAAATGATAAAATGTATTTATGGGGTGTACTTGAATGATCCACACTTGACTGAAGATAGAAACTGTGGGTAGAGTAGTAGCACTTCCCTGGTAGTGCTCTTCTGCAGAATACAGGAGCAATGTTTACAGCCTCCCTAGCCCTGTGTTCTCTCTCGCAAACTGGATCCTGGGAAACCTGCAGAAAATGAGGACTATCCAAGACTAAAGCCCTGAGCATTGATGCTGACTTGGTATCGTTTGGCCTTCCCTTCCATCTTCATGGCAGTTGTGTTTTAGAAAGTCTTCAGTGAAATGCATGGAGGTATTGAAATAGGATAGTTTCACCTGATCAGGTAGATGCAGGTAGTTTGGTGTTGGCATAACTCTTACTTAAAAAATACAAATTTCTCTAATGAGAAACAACATGGTTATGAATTTCCTCTGAAACAAGTGTTTGAAACTAATTTTAGGTAGGACTTCAGAAAAGTGAGATTTTAATCCTACTTGGCACCGAATTAGTCTAGCTTTGCTTTTCCCTGAAATCTGTAATTCCTTATATGACAGTTGCACAAAGCTTCTGTAGGCCCCAGTGGGTGTTAGCGCTTTCCACATCTACAGTGATGACCATTCTCTATGTATAGGGTTAGACCCAAAAAACCAAACTGCCTAAACGTAAGCATAACACAATAGGGCTATTCTTGCCTTTTCCTTGAATAGTTTAGCTGGGTGCTCACAGCTAAATGCCATGCAATCTCATTACGTTTTTTTTTAGCCACTTTTGAAAAAAATGGCACATATCATAATTTGTCAAACAGCTAAAACTTGTCCCTTGCTCAAATTCTGCTTCAAGAGAGGGCTGCTCCATGGAGGCATTGACACAAGCTGGTGAAGAGCAGCTGCTCTGGGCTGTCAGGTTGTTTCTGGGATTTAGCATTTCCCCCTTGTCATAAAGAGTGTCCGGCCTGATGCCGAGTTGTGCGGGCTGTGTCCTGTGTAGCATTCCGGTATGAAAGCACTTCTGTGGGAGCCGTGGTGTGCGGTCTGTAGACTAAGGGTCCATGTGCAGCGTGATGTGGTAGGAGCCTTGGAATGGCCTGCGTGTGGCAAAGCCATCCCGCTTACTTGTGCCTTGTGGAGGCAGCACGCAGGGAATAAATACTACTTCATTATTGTTCGAACAGGCAACTAAGGTTTGACAACTCATCTGCCTCTGTCAAGAAACTAGTTGGAGAAACAGCAAAGTATTTGTGATTCTGTGAAGCCAGAGACACTTATTTAGAAATGAGAAATTAAAAAAAAAAAAGTCTCTGCCAATTAATGTTAGTGGAAGATGAACTAAACCTGTAAGGAACAGCTGTACCACTCTGCCTATAGGTAGCAGTAGTGAGRATGAGATGGTGTGTCTAGAATATATCAGTTTATCCTCCTTAAAAATATGCAGATAAGATTATTTGGCTTCAGCCAAGTAAAAGGCTGTTTTTCTTTTTTTCCTTTTTTTTTCCCCCCACAAGAAGGTGCAATTGCACCTCATATTTGTGCTGCATACCGTAGCAAGTGAAGTTTGTTGTGCTGTAATTAGAGTGAAAACACCCTGTCTGAAATGGAAGCCTTAATTTTCAGTTGCGAATTATTCCTGGTTATGATCTCATTCTATGCCATGGAACTGATCAAATTGCATTAGCTTCTGAGTGTCAATTTTTTTTTTGAAGTACGATGCTTATTAAAGTCAAATGGAGTCCTGGTAAGACTCCAGAAAACGGTGAAAATTTCACAATAAAAGTATGGCTTATACCCAGGAAGACTTGCCAGTTTTACTACTCCCACTTAATGTTCATAAAATTGAAGAAAACCTAACCAGCTATTGTTGGATGTTGCTRGTGTTTAAGGGGAAAATTCCATAGCTTTATTCACTTGAAGCAAATTGAGGTTATTTTTAGTTATGTAACTATAATACTTTTCACTTACTTTCAAATGCTGGTGTGTCAGTTTTTCTTCCTCTACTTTCAGACGTTTCTGTGTAATTTCTTCTTGCAATTTTCTTTTGTCCTACAAATTTAGAGAGAACAACAAAGCTTTATTCAAAAAATTACTTGGTGGTAAAAACAAATTCAAGAACTGTGTGCAATGTAAATCAGCAAGGCAAAGTCAATCCATGCAAACAGAGCTGTATGTTAATGCTTAGGTGACACTCAGGTTGTACCTAATTCTGAACAGTCACAGCTGAGAGGTCTTGTTCAGGTATGATTTCCAGTGCTCTTTTTCCAAAGTCTGTTTAAAATAGATCAGTGACCACAAAGCAGGGACTCCAAATTAAATGGAATTTACTGTTGGTGGGGCAAGAGGGAAAGAAAACGGGCAGAAATAATACTTGATTACAATTATACCTACAAAGTATGGTCCTGAAATAGGCCCTGACCTAAAATTGCGTCCTGTTGTCACAGCTGCTGACCTTTAGAAATAGAAACCTCAAAGACTGCTGATCTGTCCTAGTGCCACCTTTGTCCTTTTTACTACTAATTATAGAAAAAGAATAGGAGTGGACCTGCTCTGAAGCCTGGGAACACTGGAGCCCCTTGTGTCTCAGCCTAGGTACCGCAGAGCATCCTTGTGGCCTGTTCATGAGACAGATGGCAGATCTTTTTTTTTTTCCTTTAACAAGCATGGCTTTAGAAACAGTTAATTTCCTTCATAAGCTAAGGAAGAGGCTTCTTGCCCTTTAAGGGCACCTGAGGAACCTGCTCAGCTTATAGAGTGTAGAAGATCAATGAAACGAAGTGCTAGGCATGGGACTGGGGCTCATTCTCTCCTAGAATCTGTGCTTCAGAAAGAAGARGAGCTGTAGGATGCCTGGGCTGAAGCTCTTCACCTAATTCCAAAAATCAGAAATAAGCAGTAGSGCTGCAGGGACACTTCAGGGGCAGAAGTTACTAGAAATGATGCAGCCATGTAGAGATCGAGGGCAGGACTGCARTCTGGCCCAACACAACTAATCTCCTGCTAGGGGTTTGGTGATCTCCTTTTCTGTTTATAATGTTCAGAAGAATTCCAGTATCAGTCTCTGAAGATCTTCTGTATTTTACAACTTTTGCTTCCTGGTGTTAGTCTGCCTCTTCAATACACTAGGCTTAGTGTGTGGGATCTTTCCTCAAGATACTTGCTGCCTTTATCTCAGTAGTGGTGTTGGGTTTGTCTGTGTTCTTTAATACATCTACTGGTTTAGAATGCTACAACATAATCTTTCTGCAGTGCCTCTTTTTAGAAAATGTTTATCTAAGACCTGCTATACTGGATTTTACTCAGGCAGTCTGCATTTTGGGAACAGCGCATCTCTAGTCCCTGACCTTCACAGCGTTCTTTGCCAGGAAATATTACTGATCGCACCATATGAGTGGCCCTTAGTTGATCATTAGATGAGCAAAATGTGACAGGAGCTTATGTGTTCAGAGGGTTAGAGTTCTTAAGGAAATCATCTTTTCCCTGTAGTAAAATTCTGGATAAAAGACTTAGCTGGAGAAYGAACTCACTTGATTTATACTATTAAAAAAATACTCTGAAATAACTGAAATATTCTGTTTTTGCCAGTGAAGATTTATACCAGGCATCTGTGCAGTTTGAAAAGGGGTACATAAAAATAATGCACAGAAAGAAATAGAAAAGTAGTAAATAACTGTGTTTTAAATCAACAAGGTATAATTAGAAATCTCTTTGGTAAATGATTTTTTTTCCCTTTGTGTTAGAGGTCTGTTTGTTTTGCATTCCATATTTTGTTTACCTTAAGGTTTCCTACTTGTRTTCTGTAGTGTTCTAACTGGATTTCAATTTCACTGGTCGCTAATGAGCGTGTTCACAGAGTGGTTATCCAGGTAAAGGAGGCCGTCGTGTGCGCAGCTAGACTAAGAAAGCTGCAGGCTGAAGGCCAGCAGCTGAATTCAAGGAAAATGAGAGCATTAGTGGAACTTCTCTGAACTTGTGTAGCCAGAATACTTTTTAGGACAAGTTAGGCCACTTCCTTGCAGCGTGCTCTGTACTGTGCTTTGTTGGCAAGTAAGGTTTTGCTGTACAGAGCCTTGAGTATGCACAGGTGTGGGAATAAATGTTTATTACTAAAAGCGATGCAAGGGATCCACACTTCAGCTGAGCCTTGTACAGTGCCTGGTAGATTGTCATGTTAGAGAGGGAGTCTCCTCTTTGCACACTCTTTTGTTCAAGTGGCCAAGGTTTGCTCTTTCTGAAGGAGCACCCTAACCCCCTCAGCCTTTGTATCTTCTATCAGTGCAGGAGGAGACTTGAGTTTGCCTTAATGCTCACTCCTCCTGAAACCTTAGGAGTCTTTGCTGTCTCTGAGTATATAGCTGATGTCCTCAACGTGGCCTGAGAGGAGGGGAAACATGTCTACAAAGGTGTCTTGTGCTAGACAGCCTGTGTGCCAGATGTGTGATGCTGTGGCTGCAGCCTGCTGTGGTGGCAATGGTTTTCTTGTCAGCTTGTTCCTGTGGCAGATGCCTCGTGCTGGGAAGGCAATCAGAGCAATTAATGCRTCAGCTAACGTATTATCATTTTCATGTAGCTTTCCAGAGGTGTTTATTGGTCATGCAGAGGACCTTGTCTAGAGGTATGGACACCTCTGTTGGGATGAGGTTGCAGAAATGTTGTAATTCAGATCCTTAAGTGTTTCTGTAATTTTTGTTTCCACACAAAATGGAGGRTTTGATGAAAAGATCAAGTCCTGCTCTCCTCTGACACAACTAACCTTACAGCTTCTACATTTTAGTATCTGACAGTCTAGAAAAGCAAATGCATTGGATTTTTTTTAACTAGTGTGTCTTATGTACACCAACAGCAGGGGGAAGCCACATAACAAAGAAAGGGTTCCTTTTCAGAGCCATGGGAACATTAAATCTTGTAAAAAGAATTGGTTTGCTTTTTTGCTTTGCTACTGAGATAAGATGCAAGAAGAGAAACTGAAAAGTGTTACTGACTCTGCAAGAATCAGGTGCAGTAAAGAAGCTGGGCATTTAATAAGAGAAAGCAGCTAGCTCAAAAGTCCAATTCTTTACTCCTCTGAGTGCCTGACTGCCCAGTGATACCTCTTAGACCACAACACAATGTCTTTAGGGAATTGCTTATGGTTCCCTGCATGTTGCCTACTTGGGATAAACCTTCCTAGAGCCGCTAAGTAGCCTGAGTTCAAACTGTGGCCTGTTCTTAGACAAGTGCTGTTGCAGCTTCTGAAACCTGATGGTAATTACATTTTCTTTATACTTCCTTTCTGCAGCACACTGTAATAAGTACATTGAGTATTTCAGCTGAATGGTCTAAATTGGTAAGTAGGCAACTACCAAAGAAAAGAGCAAATCGTTACTTTATGCAGCAAGTGTAATAAATGAAGTTCTGGCCAGCRCCCAGACACAATTTTCCATTTCCTGTAATGCAAGACAGTGGAAGCTGTCACAAGTTTTAAGGAATGTTTCTCYAGTGTTTCCCTGGTGGCGAAGGAGCAGCCGGAGCCGGTGTTGTACAGCTGCTCCCGCCGGAGCACTGGGCGCTTCCCTGCAGCTCCAAAGCCTTCCCAYGTGCTGGGCCCAGCCGCCGCACACCAAGGCCGGGTTGTGTATGAGTCTCTGTAGTTACCTACAAACAACTCGCCCTGCAACCCCAAAACTCTTCCAGTTGCCTTTTTGTGGATTTGAATCAAGTTTTAAGTAAATATAAGCGGGCCTGCTGGCCTTTAGTGAGAGTTRTATGTTTAAAAACAGACTAAAATCCTGTTTGATTTGTTTGGATATCCATTTGAAYCCTCACATTTTCCTAATATGTTCAATTTGAGTAAGATGTTTTTAAACTCTTTTCACTAATTCAGGTGGTGGTGTTTATTTCATTATTATGCTAAGAGTAGTGGAAAAAAATATTATGTGTTTGTAAACATTGCCTGTGACAATAAGCAAATGATCCTTCTGMAGTTTTCCCTTAATCCTAAAAGGCCAAATTCTTTCTGTTTAATCTTTCTGTGACCAAGTAGATTGCAGGGAAAATAAAATTAGAGGAGGATTTCTGCTCAGCCATTTTTGTTGCATCAACTTTATATATATTCTTTATRTATTTTATATATACATAATTTATATATATTTATATATATTCTTTTAAAAAAATGACGCTGGGGATAGCTTTTAAAGAGGAGAAGAGAGGAAAAAAAAGAAAAATTTCTCCAACTCTCCGAGACCCCCCATCCCCTTTAGCAAAGGGACTGAAAGTGTTTGCTAAGTTTTCAGAGCAAACTTCACTCGCAGAATCTCCCTGTCCCTCTGTTTCCTCGCCCCACCCCTGCCCAAACCGAYAGGTAGCAATCTGATTATTCCAAGCTCTTCTTTCTTACTTCCTAAACAGCATGACAGATTATCAGTAATCCAGCAATTTTATTTAACTCCACAATGCAAAAAGAAAAATCTTTCACCTTTCACTTCTGTTGTKAAATGGGAAAATTGATTTGTTCCGAGTTCTCTAGCTGCCTTTTGACCTGCTGTCCTTCAAGCATTCAGCTGTGATGACAGTAGTATGTATTTTAGCCTATCTAGTAGTGATTTGCACGTATACTTTCACTACTTTGAATTTCATTTTTAAAATGTAATACAATCCATAATAAAATTAGTAGCTTATAAACAAGATTAGAAAAGTAATCATTTCAAACAGATATAAAGGATTAGGATTTCTTCATGGGATAAATGGAATAAATGATTCTTCAGCAAACACATGGTAGCTCATTAATACATTAGTTATAAGCCTTTTTTTTTTTTTTTTAATAGCAAGTTATAACTATAAGCACTTACTGTTATGGCCTGGAATCTTTCCTTCAGCAATTCAGCTTCCTCCATTCTAGAAATCAAAACAGACAAGTAGTGAAGGAAAACAGAATGAAACCATAAGCAAAAAGCCTCCTGGCGGGGCTACAAAAAACACGGAGGTGATTTGATCCAATTCCAGAGCTGATAGAAGGCAGAATTTCTGACTTATGAAGAGAGTCCCTGAGCAGAGGAGCAGATCGGTGCAGACAGACACATGTACTGAGGGTGTGTAGAAGCGGCAGACGTGGAGAGCGCTGGCACGAGTTRACTGACAGGTTGGAACAGTGGAGCACAAGCCCTTTTCCTTCAGAAGCTGCCAACTCTTTGTTTCAGTGTGCTGCTTAGCATAGACCATAGCCTCCTTAACTGTTAAATGYCCAAACCAGAATCTTCCAAGACCATGGCATAGAGATACTTTAATTATGTTGCTATTGCTATTTCTTCCCCTTAAGTATATTTGTGGTTTAAATATATATATATTCCTGTTTCTTATAAGTATATTTCACCTGTATGTTTTAACCTGTGGTATTAGAGCTGGGGTTTGTTGAGATGACACTTTGAACTTAATTTCCCAGGTGAATTTTCTATGTGCATAGCTGGAAGAATGTTTTAGACCTGGTAGTATAAAGTAGAAATAAAATGAAGCAGTCTGCTCTGTCAATAAGTGCAAGTGTTAATCTGTGCATATTACTGCTCAGCAACCTAGGACTCAGTGGAAGCTTTGTCTAAGTAAGGATTTTGGGATAACCCTTTCAGTGTGACCAGAATGAGTCTAAAACACCAGTGTTGCGCTAGGTGAATCCAAAATGCAGTGACTCTTGCACTGGATTTCTGTTCAGCTGACCTGAAGGCTTTTTGGCTGCGGAGTTTTGCTGAAAACAGCATTATGTTCCTTAAGGGATGGCATACGTGTTTTGACCTTTCCAGTTACATGAGTGGGAGTCAGCCTTCCACAATCAATCTAGGAAGCYTGCAAAACAAGTGGAGCTGCTTCTAGTAAAATCCAGTCGCGGAGGAAATTCTGGTATATATGCAAGATAAAACTGAATTCAAATAGCACTGCAGTGTAATGTGAATCTAGAATCCATTTGTACCCTCAGTATCATGTAACTTTAGTCTCTTTAAGGACACTAACATGAGAGTCAGTCAGCACTTTTTTTCTCCTCTGAGATGACTCAACTCAGCAGGATTTAGTGAGAGGTTTTACTTTACACGTCAATTGAATGACCTGAATCTTGCTGGCAAATCAGGTTGATTATTAGGAAAGTCTAGGAGCTACAGAGTTCAACGCTTCATAGTGTTTTCCACTTTTCTACCTTTCTACTATGTCATCACTAGCCTGTGCACACAAGCACAGTGTTGTCATCCAGACTGCTTATGGATGCATTTATTTTGTATATGTTGAAACCCACTTGAGATTTAGTTCAAACTTGTAAAGACTCCTCTCAATTCTCTAACTGTTGTTTGCCTTTCTTTTTTAAATATATTAGCATGTGCTTCATTTGGTCAGTACTTAAAATTAAAACATGGCCACAAGAAAGGCAAATGGGAAGTTCAAAGGCAAATAGACCAAAGTATATCAACAGCCAGATTACATGGGAATTTAAATGCATTCAGCTTTTGGATTTGAGAAGTTTAAATAACCCACTGAATTAAGTATGTTACATTCTTTCTACAGCAACTAATAGAGAAACTGTTCTTCTCTYTAATCCTTCGTAAGTTGACATGGCTTTCCTTTAAAGCTCTACTAATTTATATTAGCTTCTACTATGCTTAGTACATTTTGAATAAAAGTGTACTTTTTATCTCTATATTCTGTACAGCTTCTCTTAAGGTTTATGGGCTTACCTGAATCTCAGCATGTTTAGAGATTTAAGTATTATTAAAACTGGCAAATAACAACATTACCCTAAAGAAGTATGTTTGGGGTCAGAATCTGTCCTCTAACATAAGCAAGATTTCATTCTCAGTGGATGGAGGAATGAGACTGGTATTTCAAGTTAAAATCAATGGGATTGATTTTGCCTTCTACTGAATTTCTATGATGTATGAATATTTTCCAAATATAGTCAATTTATTTCAGTGTTTTTAAAAGCATTGTTTGGGGACATTCACCCATTTTCAGACTTAAAGAAAACTTAACAAGTCTTTCCCTAGTCTAACCCCCTAGATTTTGAAATAACCTCGAGATGATCCCTGTAATGTTACATCCTTTTTTAAAATGACCATTATTATGGAAGAATTTRAAGTTTACTTTAAATGTTTTGAATTATATAAATCATTTATCCCCCTGCTAGGTAGAATTTGCTGTTCGGTCAGTAGATTGTTTTCCAGTTAACTTAATCCTATTCTAAATGCGATTTACATGTAAGAGAAGAAATGGCCCAGCTGTCATTTTGTCTGCCCTTAAGCCTGCTTCGCGAGTGCAGTATCCAGCATGTTACATGTTGTCAGACCGGTAAATCCAAACAGCTGTGCTTTCAATCTGCAGGGCTCTTGGAATAAGATTTTCAGAATTTGCTTGCCAGAAATATATCTAGAGAAACTTATTTACCTACTCTGCAGGTACTATTTTGGAAGAAAAACATGTTAAAATGTGTATCATCTGTAACTGGCTAGTGATAGTTTGAATTATGCAGAAAATGTTTGTTGCATCTCATGATGTATCACATAGATTGTGTTCTTTTGGCTTCACCTCTTTGTTCRTTCACTTCCATTGTGTGTTGGTTTCTTTAGTGCAGGAGTCAGATCACCTGAAGAGAATCCAAAGCAAAGGCTGCATTTTGAATCACCCAGAGAAGTGGGTGGGAATCTATGAAAATGGGGCATCCTGAATAAAAAGGTGGAAGCAGACCCAGAGGAGAGCACTTATACTGAAAGCACAGATTCTGTTGTCCATTTTAGAACATGGTTTGAATAGTGGTGTGGAGATATTCTGCCATGTCAGAACTGCAGCAGCTGTCGTTGCCATAGTCTGCAAGCAAAACCATCCTCAGTCCTGCTCTTATTCGTTAGACTCTGGCACCCTTCAAAACAAGTCAGTAACTTAACCTATAACTCATTCTACCTTTATTACCTTATTATAGTAGCAAACAACTGCTTCTCAGAATAAATAYTTTATTAAAGATAAGAGGCCAGATGCACTCCCATTTTAAAAAATGTCTTTGGAAAAACGAGTTTTAAGGGAATGGAGTTGATCAGATTGTTACCAGCCTGTATTTTCTGGCAAGAATGATTTCAGAGTTTATGACTCACCATTTTGCACATCACAATTAATCTCATTATTTTGCTTGTTGGTGAGCTGCCTTCTGTAGCTGTGTTTGGAACAGAAAAKGCACTTCTTACACTTCATATTAATGTGGATTATATATTGTTGAAGTGAGAAAATGCCCTGCCACAATGCATTTGTCTGCACGTGGCCTTGAATCTCTGGCAAGGGAGAGAGATTTTATTGAAGGTCCCTTAATGCAAATGTCTGCCACAACCTCCTGTCAATTAAACCAGAAGCCTGGGGTCTGGGACGCCTCAGCTGATTGACAAGTGGTTTCTTAACAGCCAGAACCGAGATTTTGCATTTCAAAAGTGAAAAATAAGCTATCAAGAAATTAAAATAGAAAATCTAAAAAAAGTTTATTCCAGATGAAAGGCATATGGATAGACATCTAAAGTCTTTGGATACTTGCTCAGAAAAGGGACTTTTTGGAGAGAATTACTCATTGATTGTATCATTTCACAGCATTCCCAAAAGAAAGGAGGCTTGTCTGAAAGGCTAGTTTTCTGTTTTCAAAACTGAAGGCTGTATTCACCATTAGTCTACAAAGTTTTGCAGTTCATTCCGTCAATTGTGCTTTAAAGCTGCACGAGAAGCTTTCATTTAGTAAGCGTCCAGCTAAAGAACTCTTCTGGCATTCAGCATGATGCTACTTTTGACTCATAAGCATTAGCTTTTGGTTAGGAAGTGTAAGAGAGCTAGGACAACTCTTAGCAAAGTTTTCCATCACTAAATGAAAAGCTTTAATTTGAGGAAACAGATGATAATCAGAAGCAGCACCCATCGCATTAAGTGTGATTTTTGTGCATCTCAGGTCACAAATTCTGAGCTAAATCAGAAAGTGTTTTCTTAAAAATATCCGTGTCAGTAATGGCTTAAAATACGCAGAGAAAAAGAACATTAAAGGAGAGAGGAAAACCATCCATAGAATGCAAGTAATTATTATCAATGAGTAAATATATTACATTGTCTTAATGAGCAGCTATACAGGTGTCAAGATGCATTTTTGAATATGCCCACTTTATGTATATTACCTTCTCTAACGACTTTGAAAATATGGAATGGAAGACTGAAAATGCCCCATCTCTGTTCCTGTGGATAGGAGACTAGTAGTGTGTAGCGTTTGGTGGGAGACTGTGTCATTCATCCCCTTGCTCATCTAAAGCTTTCGTCTGTACAGTTTTGTGAAGCTAAATTCTGCCTCCTTTGCTGTGCTGAGTCTCTGGGAGGAAAAGTTTGAACTATTATATTCCTGTTGGTACAACTCCCTTCCTGTTTCTATTCATAATAATGAATATTTTGCATCTCTAAAAACAAACTGAAAGAGCTGTTGGCCATTGCTCTCAGTTGTTTTAAAAATATCCTCTTTTTATTTTATACTAAATCTACCTTTTGGATATTTCTCAATATTACTAGTTCTTGGATTTTGTGACATCACAGGCTCCACTTTCTTTACCATGGTAGCTTATATGCACAATATATGTTATTACTGCAGTCAACCTATAAACTATTGTGCTAAATATGAATCATCTTTCCCTCATTTGATAAAATTACATAGTAGACTATGTCAAAGGGTTTTTTTTAAACAGCTAAGCATGTTCTTGCAGCCTATTGTGTGTTGCCAGACACTTGCCAGTTCTTGGACATATATATTTTGGAAATATTTTGTGAAACTCTGAATGTGGCAAGTTTTCTGAAAAAATGTGCCATGCCGTGGTCAGTCACTTGTTTAAGCCATTCAGGGCATGTTGTAAGTCACC